CCACCCGGGACTGGCAGGGCTGGTGGGCAGCTCCAGGGCCTCTGCTCTGAGGGGCTTCTCTGGTCTGCCCTTCCCTCCTGCCAGATCTGTCCAACCACAGGGACTCACAGCTGCCTTTTCAGATGCATCCAGCCGGGAGTGGGCTTCACCTCACTGGGCTGGGAGATGGACAGCTTCCCACACAGAAGGTCTTAGGCCATGTTGCCAGGCTCTGGTCACCAAACATTTCCCTCACCAGCCAGGAAGTTCCACTACCAACGATTTAGGGTTTAAATGGCAGGAAGCCCTGCTAACTCCCCCTCCTCCCAACATTAAACCTTAAACATATCAGTCATTCACACTATAGTATGAACAAGCCAACAGCTCTTCCCTCTACCCCCTAGTTGGGTGGATGCTGCATATGGAGATATTGTTCTTCCATTTTTGCAAGAGGAGATGAAAGAGAAGCAGAGGAAGGGACCTGAGAGAAGGCAAGTAGGGCAGAGGTTGGGGGTCAGAAAGGGGAGGATTTGGAGAAATTGCCAGAGGAGGGGAAGGGGGAACAAACATTGCTAAGGAGAAAGCCTCTCATTTGTCCACTCCTGCACAGTCAACAAAGCACAGTTGCAGGAAAGTCCCCAAGTCCTCACGTCACCCCCGTTTTCCAGATGGAGAAACTGAGGTTCCGAGAGAAGGGACTCTCTCTAGATCACACAGAATATCTAGGTCTCCTCACTCCAACAAGAGGTGCCCTGTCTTGCCGTGTTCGCTCGTGTCCGGCCCTGTCATTCTGTTGTCCTCTCCCTGCACCCACCTCAAAGATGCAAAACGGGAGATTCCAGAGGAGGACAGGAAGGCCCTCCCCAGCCCTAATTTATGATTTTCTGCCAGCTTCCTTCCTCCCACTACTCCCTTCCAGCCCCAGTCCCAGCTCTCTGGGGAAAGAAAGAGCTGGTTGAATGAGAAGGGCAGCTCCATGGAGCATAAATAACTTGGCCGGGCAGCTGCAGGCTGTCCAGGTCTCCCAGTGCCCCCGACCCTGGCCCTGCAGGGTGCTCCCAGCTCTGAGAGCCAGGGACAGGAGGGCCAAACCCCCGATCAAAAGCGCAGAGAGCAGCCATTGCTCTTGGACCCTGTCCTTTGTCTGGTCAGCAGCTTTGAAGGCTGTGGCCTTACACAGTCCCTTCCCTTTCATGGTGTCCAGGCGCTGCCTTGGCCGTCAGGCCTGGACCCCTGGGGGCTGCGGCCATGGGCTCTGGGCACCCCTCGGGCTGCTCCCTCACCTATGGAACAGGCACGATATGGGAAGAGTACCTGGGCTCACACGAGCTAGTGTGTGCACAGGGCTGATACGATAGGGCACACCCAACCTGGAGAGACAGTCCTGTAGGACACAGCGGGAGGAGAGAGTCCCTCAGCTACGGCCCCGAGGGACTTCACAGGGGAAGGAGGCTGCAGCCCAGGTTGTTTGTTAAGAGGATAAAACATTTCCTGTTTGGACTAGGCCAGGGTGGATGCGTCAGTGAATCCGCCCCAGACAGGCTGTGTTTCCCGGATCCCATGGCCTGCCCTGGGAGGGTGTCTGTGTGTGTCCCCGTGTGGTCCCCATGGGTGTGGGTCCAGGTCTGGGTATGTGTCAATGCATTCTCTCTGGCCTCATCAGCCCCAAGATGGGACCCCATATGTGAGCCAAGTTATCTCTTACCCCAAAGAAGCCCCACTTCAGGGCTCAGCTGGTGGGTGGCAGTGTGGTCTGGTGGGTAAACTCATAGGCACGCACCCATCACTCACTAGCCATGAGCCCCACACCTGGGGACAATAAGGCTGCCTTCCGGGTGGCAGAGAGGATCGCAGCAGACAATATAAGCAAAATGCTTAGCACAGCGCCTGGCACACAGTCAGCGCTGGGGAACGGAAGCTGCTGTCGTTACTGGAGGTTGTGGTCTGGTCTTGGCAGTGGAAAGGACCAGGCCCCCAGGGGGGAGGCCCCGCCACAGGGACAGGCCCTGAGACCTCAAGCCAGCTGGCCCCTCTCCTCTCAGTTTCAGCAAACATTGAAACCTCAAATAATCAAAACCCCAGACCCCCACGGCATTTCCTGTCTTTCCACTCAACTGACCAGAAAGCAGGCTGTCATCCAACAGGAAAGTGAGCCCTTAAATGGGGGCTTCAGCTGTGCCCCAGGGCCACCAAAGGGAGGCCTGAAGCTTTCACACTTTCCCAGAAGCTCAGACTCTTAAGCCAGAGGGACCTTAAAAAGTCCCATGTGGGAGGGTTGCTTGAGGCCAGGAGTTCGAGAGCAGCCTGAGCAACAGAGCAAGACCCCGTTTCTACAAAAAATATTAAAAATGAGCCAGATGTGCTGTCACACACCTGTAGTCCTAGCTAATCAGGAGGCTGAGGCAGGAGAATCACTTGAGCCCAGGAGGTTGAGGCTGCAATGAGCCACTGCACTCCAGCCTGGGTGACAATGTGAGACTCTGTCTCAAAAAAAAAAAAAAAAAAAAAAAAAGTCCCATGGCTTGTTTTTTCAGGCAAAGAAATGAGACTCAGAGAACGGAAGTGACTTGCCTCAGGTCACACAGCTCCCAGAGGTTGCTCTGGAATTGACACCCAGGCCTGTGGGTCACAGGGCTTGTGGGGTGGTAACCATTAGGTCACACAGCCACAAGGTCAGTCTTTAGTGATAAACAAATACCCTGGACCTGGGAATCCCAGGCTCAGCAAGGACAGGCCCCTCTCTGATGTGAAAATGTTGAGAACAGCTTTTACCAGGATAGTCTCTTGCTGGGAAAATTCTGCAGAGGCCTGAGTCTGCCACTAGTTTGATGGCATTGGTTAAGAAATGTGGATGCCATAGGCCAGGCGCGGTGGCTCACACCTGTAATCCCAGCACTTTGGGAGGCTGAGACAGGCGGATCACGAGGTCAGGAGATCAAGACCATCCTGGCTAACATGGCGAAACCCCATCTCTACTAAAAATATAAAAAATTAGCCAGGCGTGGTGGCAGGCGCCTGTAGTCCCAGCTACTCGGGAGGCTGAGGCAGGAGAATGGCGTGAACTCAGGAGGCGGAGCTTCCAGTGAGCTGAGATGCGCCACTGCACTGCAGCCTGGGCAACAGAGCGAGACTCTGTCTCAAAAAAAAAAAGAAAAAGAAAAAAGAAATGTGGATGCCATTAATCGCAGGAGCATCTTGGACATGTTGCAAACAGACCTAGCAGTGCCTCCTCATTCTCTGGCACCCATCTGGCATCCCAGACACCTCTCAGTCCCTCTAAGACATTATCCAGTGCTTCTCCTTCCTAAACAGCTATGTGTTAAACAGCTGCATGTTTGAGCTTCCTAAACAGCTCAAAGCACCCCGTGGGATGATGGGTTTTTATCTGGGTCCCTTGATTGGGGTTTCAGACAGGTCTGGCATCCTCTTGGGGGCATGGCTCCTCAGGAGTGACGAATTATCCAAGGTGTTAAGTCATTGATCTAGCTGTGTCAAAAACAAGGACTAACCAGAGAGGTATGAAGCTGCGTTTCTTGGAGGTCAGAGAGATGGCACAGGAGATGCCCCAAAATTTCATGTGAAAAGGAGGGCAACAGCTCCCCAAGGGGGCAACATTGGCACCATGGTGATGTCATTGGAGGGAGTGGGAGCTCTTGGGGGACCATGTGTAGTAGAGGAGAGGGGCGACAGGCCATTACCATATCTCAATCCTTCCCACACTTCTGTAAGGGATGTACAACTGTCCTCCCTGCAAAAGAAACACTGAGGCTCCGAGAGGGGCAGGACTTGCCTGAGCTAACTGGAGCAGAAGTAGTAGAGGCAGGGTTTGAAAACAGCTCTCACTACCTGTCCCTTGAGACGGCATCAGCTTTCTCTATGTGGACACACTGGTGATGGATCCCCATCCTGCCTGCCTGCCTATGGTGGCCTATGCTGCCTGCCCCTGGTGAGTCCAGGAGGGGCAATCCAGTGACTGGCAGATCCTTTCTGGGGAGTGTTTCTAGAAGGGACCATGGGTCTGGACAAGCCATAACAGGAAAGAGCCAAGCTGGGCAAGGGCTTCCCCAGCCCAGGCCTAATTACTGTCCATCGATGCAGGCAGAAGGTGGGGTTAGAGACTGTCCTGGGAAATGGGAGTCTGGGTCCTCTCTAACATACCACACAAACATGTACCCCTGCACACACACACTACGCTTACATATACCTTTGTGGGATGCGGAGCCCTTCCCCCAGAAGCCCATCCATGTACCCCAGATGAGGAAACCACACAACACCAATTCTTACCTTGTTACGTATGGTGAAATCAAGGCTTTGACCAAAGTGCTGTGGTTAAGAGCTGGTACTCTCCAAAGTCAGGTGATCTGGGTACAAATCCTGGCTCTGCCAAACTCCTGCCATGGTGCTTCAGGTAAATGACAGCGCCTCTCTGTGGCTCAGTTTCTCCACCTGTAAAATGAGAATAAGAACAGACCCTGCATTGATGGGGTCCACCCAGATCTCCTTCTAGGGAGACTGTGAGTGTCTGGGCCTCAGTTTTCTCTTCTGTAAAATGGGAATATTGCACCCAGTTCCAGCAGAGTGGCTTGAAGATTCACTTGAGACAGGATGCGAAGTGGCCGCCGTGAGGTGCCCAGTACACATGGCACGCACTGCTCAGGAAGCTTTCCTTGGAGGGCTGGATCCTGCAAAGGTGTTAAAAAAGGATGAGTCGCTGATATCATTCACTCAGGCGAGGCGGGTTCGGGTCCCGGTTGCGTCAGGGACCGTGGCCCGGGCCTGTTTCCCAGTCTACAACTAGTGGGAGGACACCCCGGAGCTGGCACCCCGCCCCCAAAAGGGCCCCGCGGCGCAGGGTGTGGGGCTCAGGTGGACACCTGGCGGGCCTCCTGGCTGGGGCGCCCGGGCCCCTCCGGGCTCCTTCCGGGTTGGCAGCGACGGCGCAGGGGGCGGGGGGCCTCGCCGAGGGGCCGGGCGAGGCCGGGAGCGAGCGCCCCAGCCCCCGCCCGCCTCCTGCCCGCCCTCCGGCCGCGGCGCTGGGAACCGGGCTCCGCGCGTCCGGGGCGGCTGGCGGCGCGGGCAGGCGGGCGGGGAGGACAGGCTAGGGGCGGCGACAGCGAGGGGCCGCGCGCGGAGGGCGCCTGGTGCAGCATGGGCGGCCCGCGGGCTTGGGCGCTGCTCTGCCTCGGGCTCCTGCTCCCGAGAGGCGGCGCTGCGTGGAGCATCGGGGCAGCCCCGTTCTCCGGACGCAGGTAAGGGCTCCCCGCGCCTATGCACCCCGCTGGCCGGGGGTCCCGGCGCGCACACGTCCCCACCTCCGGGCAGGGCCGGGATCGGGAGAGCGATCCAGTCCCTAGGCTCAGTGCCGGCCCGGGTGAGGGCAGGGTCCGGCTGAGGCTCCGGCGAGTGCGGGGTCCCCTACTCCATGTGTTGGAGCTGCCTGTCTCCCCTACTCCCTCCCTTTCAACCCCGGAGCCGGAGAGGAGGAGGAAGGGGCGCAACGAGGGCGAAGCCCTGGCCCTTCTGTCCCCCTGTCCCTAGGGCCCCTCCCCCTGCACTTGGGAAAGGCCCATGACACCCCGTAGCCGTAGCCGACCCTTCGTGGACCCCCCTCCCCTTTACTCTGTTCCTGTTTTTTGTTTGTTTGTTGTTTGTTTTTGTTTTTGTTTTGTACCCAGGCCATTTATCTCCCTCGGAGGAGGGATTGGGGTGGAGTCTCACAGCCCAGTGGGTCAGTGTGGAGGCTCCCCAGGGACCTGGCATTTTGGGCAGAGAAAAGAGGGAGCACCGTCTTCCTGCTGCTCTCCTAGTGGCTGGGAACTTCCTCCCCGCTGGCCTTTACGGAGGAGCTCCCAGAACCTGACATGTGGGGCCCATTATTGTATATAGTGTCCTCATCAATCCTTCAAGGACTGAATGAGGTAGGGAAAACTGTCCCCATTCAACAGAGAAGCAAACCGAGATCCTAGAGAATTGGCATCATCTTTTAGACTCATGGGCTATTCATTGAAGAGCTGGGTTGCAAATCTGCCTTTCTGTCCTTGATGACAGTGTTTGAACCTGCCCTGGCCTCTGTCCTGACTGCAACCCCTGCCAGGGTCCCCTCTTAAAGGCCAGCCGCCGTTGTCCAAGGCAGACAATGTGGAGTAGCCAGGCCTCTCCAGGCCTTTTCATCCCTTTCAAAGGCCTGCACGGCCCCCACCCCCTACGGCCTCAATTCTTTAATTCTTTTCAGAAATTCTCCTTTCCCAGTGGTCAGGGGCCAGCATGCCCCTGCTGGGCTAGCAAGAGCGGTTGACATGGGCAGGGCTGGAGGATGGAGGTGGTTGAAGCATCAGAGGCCAGAAGAGCAGTTGTCTGAGACAGGGGTGGACGTGTGGTGGATGTCACAGCCACCACCTATCGTGTGCAGACCACAGTTAGCCTGAGTCGGCCCCATTACCTGCATTCATCAGCTCCAGAATCTTCCCAGCTGCTTGAAGGTGTGCTTTTTATGATTCTGTTTCTTAGAGGAGGAAGATGAGGCTCAGAGAGGGAACATGACCTGCCCAGAGCATCGATGTGGGCCGCCAGAATCCCAGATGCTAAGAGGAGAAAGACTATTAACTCAGAAATCCCACTGTCAGGCTCAGGATGATGGTAGCACAGCTTAAGGCCCAGACTGCCCTGCAGTCAGTTCAAGACAGGGTTTCCCAGCCTGGGCTCCTCACCTTCCAGGGTCTCCTGAGTGGGAGCAGGATGGTGGCTATAACCAGGTATCTGGTGGTCACTGGAGGCTGTCACTCCATGTGTTGACAGAAGCCCATCACAGTAGCCTGAGCATTCCAAAAGCCCTGTTGGCAATAGTATTGCACCCATTGTACAGATAAGGAGGCTGAGGCCTACAGAGGAAAAGTGGCACCTCAATCCAGACCAGTCAATTTCCAAATCCAGTGGCTTTTTCTATCCAGCAGCCCTCCTGGAAGAGGGAAAGAGATTGTTGGCTTGGGGGCACCAGGAAAGGTTTGTAGTCATGATTAGGAGTTAGGGGCTCCAGGCTTGGACAAAATGGAGACAGAATTCCGTGCTGGTACAGGCTTGATGTGTGACCTCAAGTGGGTCACTTCCTGGCCCTAGGTCTCAGTTTTGCTCTCAGTTTCCTTCTTTCCTCATGGGAAGGGCCAGTACCGGGCCTTACCTGCAGTGGTTCCTGCTATCAGTCATGTCACATGGGGGTAGAGACCTGGAGCTTGAGGAGTCTGTGGCCTACCAGGACCTCCACTTGTGGCCCCATCCCCGCGTTGCTGGAGACAGCATGGGGATGTCATGCCCTGTCAGCCATCCTGCCACCCACACCCCAGCACCCCAGGCACCCCTTGGCAGCCAAGGGACCAGAGGCAGAAAAGAGGCTTTGTCCTGGGGAGGGGTTGGCCTGGGAAGGCATCCAGGGGGCCGCCCCCAGCCCCAGGAATGTGGTGACACTTGGAGACCCCCGGAACCGGGGTGCCCAAGGGCTATGCAGAGCTGCCTTGGCTTGCCTCTGCTCCTGGAGCTGCTTCCTGCCATGCTGAGGTCCTTCCAAGCCTGGAGCCCGCGTCCTTTAACCACTTATCTCAGCATTTCGGCTGAGGATTCAAGCTTTCACCAGCCCAGACCTCTCGCCCCTGCAGTGCCGGCCTCCTTTAGGCAAATCCTAGGATCAGGGAGAATGGAGGGCTCTAAAATGGAAGGGATCTGCCCCAGCCTCTCTCTAGGGGGCTCCAATCCCAGCTGATGCCCACAGGAGTAACCCGGGTAGGTGCTTTCTCTTGGAGCCTCAGTTTCCCCCTCTGTAAAATGTAGAACCTGATAATCCCTATTCCAAGGGGAAGACCTTGTGAAGAAGGTACTGTGCTGGTGTCCCCAAGCCCCAGGGAAGCCCCTGGACCACAGCTGCTGGGTGTGGCGCCCATGTGTGGGCCTGAGCCCCTCAGTCCAGGAACAGGAATGAACAATAGCTGTTAGTGCTGTGCTAAGGGTTTTGAGTGAAGCTTACCCCACTGGAGGAAATTCTGCTGTCCCCATTTGCAGATGGACAAAATGAGGTCCAGAAAGGGTCAGGGCCTTGTCCAAGGTCACCAACTTAGGAAGCAGTAGAGCCAGGGCTGGAACTTCGCCCCCACTGTGGGGCTCTGGCTCTCATCACAGCACCCCCACCCACCTGGTCCTTTCTTTCTTCTCTTTTTCATCACGGCCCTTGGCCCCAGGCCCGCTTGGCTGCCTCCTGCAATTAGCCCCTATCACTGTTCCGGATCGCAGCCCTGGGCCCTACGTAGACAAAGTCCCCTGGGCCCCTCGTGGCAGGGGGTGGAGTGTGGGTGTAGGTGGGGGGCCCTTGTGGGGGTGGCTGGTGCCAGGCTGAGCTGGTCTGGCCTGTTTCTCCCCTCCTGGGGGCCTCTGGGGACCTGGAGGTGCTGAGTGGACAGAAGTGGTGGGCCCAGGAGGGAAGTGCCACCTCTTCCCAGCCCCTGCCCTCACCCACCCCACTGCCCAGCCTCATCCAGCTCTTGGGCAGCTTATCAATGACGACACCCCAGGGAAGGAAGCCCCCAGGGGCTGCAGGAATGGAGCACATGGGGATGGGTCACTTCATCTGTGGAACCCATCTTGGGTCCCGACTGTTCTGCCCAGAGCTGCTGCCTATTCTCCATCATTCAGTCATTCAACAAACATCACTGAGCGTCCTCAGGCTGAGCCCTACACAAACTTGGTCCCAGCTCATGCCCTCCTCCAGCACCTTCGTGAGTAAAGCCCAGGGCTATTGTGAGTGGCTAATGGGTGATGGCCAACCCCTGTGTGGGCCTGAGGGCTGAGACCCAAAGGATGAATAAGAATTTGCTGGGGCAAGAGGGAAGGGTTTTCCAGGCAGAGGGACCTTCATATGCTAAGATCAGAGATGGGAGAAGGGGCTGCATGAGTGTGCATGAGAGGCTAACAGAATAAAAAGTGAAGGACAGGCCGGGCGAGGTGTCTCACGCCCGTAATCCCAGCACTTCGGGAGGCCGAGGCAGGCGGATCACCTGAAGTCAGGAGTTTGAGACCAGCCTGGCCAATATGGCGAAACTCCGTCTCTACTAAAAATGCAAAAATTAGCCGGGCGTGGTGGCAAGTGCCTATAATCCCAGCTACTTGGGAGGCTGAGGCAGGATAATTACTTGAACCTGGAAGGTGGTGGTTGCAGTAAGCCGAGATTGTGCCACTTCACTCGAGCCTGGGCGACAGAGCGAGACTCCATCTAAAAAAAAAAAAAAAAGTGAAAACGGTGCTTGCAGGGCTATAGGGAGTCATGGTGGGCTGCGAACCCCACAGTGGGTGTTGGCAACCTTAGGTCTGCACTTTAGAAAGAGCCTCCTGCTACCTCTGGAAGGTGGATAGGGGAGCAGGAGGGTGGCAGGGCCAGGCTAGGACCCTGTGGAGGAGCTCAGGCTGATGCTAGGAGTCCTGGGGCTGGGGTCCTCAAGCTGGGGGATGGGGTGGTTATTAGTGATCCCCAGGTGGAGGGGGCAAGGGGCTGAACTTGAACTCCACCTGGCATGAGTGTCCTCTCCTGTCCAAAAGGTCTGGCTAGCCGGCCACCAGCTCCATGTCTCCTAAAGAGAGGATTCAAGCACAGTCCAGATTGTGGCAACCAGGCAGGGACCTACATGGTTATTTTTTTTTATTTTTATTTTTTTTGAGATGGAGTCTCACTCCTGTTGCCCAGGCTGGAGTGCAATGGCACGATCTCGGCTCACTGCAACCTCTGCCTCCTGGGTTCAAGCGATTCTCCTGCCTCGGCCTCCCGAGTAGCTGGGATTACAGGCATGAGCCACAACGCCTGACTAATTTTGTATTTTTAGTAGAGACGGGGTTTCTCCATGTTGGTCAGGCTGGTCTCAAACTCCCGACCTCAGGTGATCCGCCAGCCTCAGCCTCCCAAAGTGTTGGGATTACACGCCTGAGCCACTACACCCAGCCAAGATTTTTTTTTAAGAGACGATGTGTCACTCTATTGCCCAGGCTGTAGTGCAGTGGCATGATTATAGCTCATTGCAACCTCAAACTCCTGAGCTGAAGCGATCCTCTCACCTCAGCCTCCAAAGTAGCTGTGACTGCACTCACGCACCAATGGTGGAGATTTTTATTAAGGAAGCAGGAAAAATATTGTTTTTTTTTTTTTCTCTAGCTACCCCCTGGTAAAAAGAAGGACAGCTCTGGCTATTGTGGACCATCACAGGCCCACCTCTCCCGGCCTAGTCTGGGGACAGGGCATGTGAGGGCTGTTGTCCACGTGTGTGTGTGAGGGCAGATGGCTCTGTGCGTGCCTGTATAGATATGTGTGGTAAGATGGCCAACAGTGCCCTGCTGGGCCTGCCTTCACCTGTTTGTGTACATGTGAGAGGAGTGTATGTGTGTGTGTACACGTGTGCCCACATGTGCACTGCAGGGCCCTGTGTGGACATGTCCAGAGATCACAACTTCAGCCTATCTGCGTCCATGTGAGACGGCATGCGTGTGTGTGTGTGCATGTGCGGGTGTGTCAGTGTGTGCGCAAATGTGAATGCATTTGCAGGGAGGAGATTTGACTGTGACTGTGTGCCCTTCTGGGCCTGCTTTGGTCTGTCTGTGTCCGTGTGACAGAGCCGATGAGTGTGTGTGTGTGTGAATGTATGAGGGCACAGAGCCCTGTATCTGCAGGTGTGGATTTGTGTGCAGGGAGGACGGTCATTTCTGTGATTAAGTGTCCTGCTGGATTTGCCTTAGCCTGTCTGTGTGCGTTTGTGTGCGGGTATGTAGCTGTGTGTTTATGTGGATGTGTGTGTGCACATGAAGGCCCGTGTGTCCATGCATTGTGTGTACATATGCCTATGTGTGTCTGTGTGCACGTGCTCACTGCAGTGCGTATTTGCCCTATGTGCACATGTGTGTGCGTGTATGTATCTGTGTTTGTGTGGATCTGTGTGCGTGTGCATGAGCGTGCGTGTGTCCATGCATTGTGTGTACATATGCCTATGTGTGTCTGTGTGCATGTGCTCACTGCAGTGCGTATTTGCCCTATGTGCACATGTGTGTGCATGTATGTATCTGTGTTTGTGTGGATCTGTGTGCGTGTGCATGAGCGTGCGTGTGTCCATGCATTGTGTGTACATATGCCTATGTGTGTCTGTGTGCACGTGCTCATTGCAATGCATATTTGCCCCTGTGTGCCTGTGAGTTCATGTGTGTGTGTGCATTTGTGTGCGCAGGTACTGTGTGCTTGCGATTGTCTGCTCACTGGCATAGTGCATTCATTCTGTGTCCAGGGGCCCTTTCCTGTCTCCAGAGCTTCCGAGTGTCCTCTGCCCAGATTGTCCTCTTCTTCCCTCCCTCTTTCACTCGTGAAGCCCCTGGGCCAGCCTAGTGAGTGTCACATAGGCTCCAAGGAGCCTCTGAATCCCCTTAACCTATACACCAAGTTTTATGCATATTTCTGGAGAGGAGCCACGATTCATAGCAATTTTCTAAAGGGGCTTTTGCCCCCCCTCCATATTCAACCCTAACAGGTTCAAAACCACAGCTCTGGTTTTTTTGTTTGTTGGTTGGTTTTCTGTTTTGAGACAGAGTCTCACTCTGCCATCCAGGCTGGAGTGCAGTGGTGCCATCTGGGCTTACTGCAACCTCTGTCTCCCGGGTTCAAACGATTCTCCTGCTTCAGCCTCCTAAGTAGCTGAGATTACAGGTGCACATTACGACGCCCAGCTAACTTTTGTATTTTTAGTAGAGACGGGGTTTTGCCATGTTGCCTAGGCTGGTCTTGAAATCCTGATCTTCAGGTGATCCACCTGCCTTGGCCTGCCAAAGTGCTGGGATTACAGGCATGAGCCACTGCGCCCGACCTTTTTTTTAGTTGTAAAAAATTTTTTTTATAGAGATGGGGTTCTCACCATGTTGCCCAGGCTGGTCTTGAACTCTTGGCCTCAAGCGATCCTCCTTGCCTTAGCCTCCAAAAGGGCTGAAATCTTCACCTACTCATTAGGAGAAACACTTGTAGCCTGGGGTTGAGAGTGCGAGCTCTGGAGCCAGAGGGACTTGAGTTCCAACCCTGACTGTGTTGCCCATCGTGGGTTCCTGGGGCAAGTCCTAGACCCCAGGGTCTCAGTCTTCCCATCTGTATAGTGGCTGGGTTTTTTTTGTTTGTTTGTTTTGAGACAGAGTCTCGCTCTGTTGCCCAGGCTGGAATGCAATGGTACGATCTCAGCTTACTGCCACCTCCGCCTCCCAGATTCAAGCAATTCTCCTGCCTCAGCCTCCTGAGTAGCTGGGATTACAGGCGCCCACCACCACACCCGGCTAATTTTTTATATTTTTAGTAGAGACAGGGTTTCACCATATTGCCCAGGCTGGTCAAACTCCTAACCTCAGGTGATCCACCCATCTCGGCCTGCCAAAGTGGTGGGATTACAGGCATGAGCCACCGTGTCCGACCTAAAGTGGCTTTTTAATAGAGTATGAGAATCAACTGAGCTAACACGTAGAAGGCTCTGGGCACAGCTCCTGGCGTGCAGCAAGCATGATAAACATAGCTATGGTTTGTGTAGGAGACAGAGCAGATGGAAAGCCCTCCTTGCTCCCAGAGGTGGCAGTTTGAGAAAAGAGCATCATCTTTTTCTCACTTTGTATGCACATATCTGTACATGTGCCCGCATGTATAAATAGTCGACTTTCTGTCTCTCTCTTAATGTAATAGAAATGCAATCACTGTATATCCATTGGTCTTTGCTTTTTTTCCTCCCTGTAACCAGGGGTGATAACTGGGTCTCAGGTCAGCACGTGGAGACCTCGGGCTTTGTTACAGCATCTGGTTTCCCGTGTCTGGTGGCTCCATAGCTGTTTAGGCTGTTCCCAGTTTTGTGCCATTTCTGTTGGTGCCACAGCAGGCACCTGTCACGTCTGCATGGGATGGCTGTCCGAGGGCTCTGTGGAGCTTCTCCTGCTTCATGGGCCAAACCGAACCATCCCTTCTCCCAGCCCACCTCCAGGGCTGTACCTAGGTTGTTTCCTCTTCCGGCACTGATTCTGGTGTGGCACAGACAGATGAAGGGAATTCCACAGGGCCCTAAATTGAGTTAGTTGCCTGGTCCTGGCCCAGGAGTTTCTCCTTCTGGTGGTCTGGGGTGGGGGCAGGGCTGCAGCGAGCCGGGACCGCACTATGCTTGGCATGGGAATCTCTGTGATGGCTGGGACATTCCAGGTGCTCAGCAGCCCTCAGCCCTGCACAGGGTCACAGGCCCTGTGCTTTTCACAGGGGCTGGAGAAGGAGGGAAGGTTTCAGGTGACCCTTCTCAGCCTGGGTCCCCCACCCCTCCCAGACTTTCTTCCTGCCCTCAAGCCTGGGGTCAGCAGGTTCCCAGGCCAGGGTCTTCACAGAGCCACAGACCGTGGCTCAAGGAGATGAGGAGACGGAAGCTGAGACTCTGGGATGGAGTCAGAGGCTGGGCTAGGCCATCCATGTTGCTGGGCTCAAATCTGGCTCCTCTATGCACCAGCTGTGACATGAGCATTTGTCTTCACCTCCCCAAGCCTCAGTTTCCCCTCTGTAAAAATAGGGTGGGGGTACCTTCCTACCTTCCTCCCTCACCATTAGAAGATAGTGTGAATACCCTTAGCATACAGTAAGTGCTCAATATGTGCAGTGCATTCTGATTATTAGTTGGTATTTGGAGAAGTCAGTCCTCTGGGCTTGGGGCATTGATTACACAACCGAGCCGTCCCACAGAGGGGACATGGGGATGAGTGAGACAGGGCCTCTCCTCTTGCATGCTGGCGGAGTGGGCAGGCACGAATTGGCGGCTTAATTCAGCGTGACAGGTGTGCAGATGCTGCGGGAGCCAGGGCAGGGCACCACTGGAATTGCTCAGGGCAGGGTGGAAATGGGAAGGGATGGAAGGAATAGGCCATGTCACATCTGGGCTTTGAAGGGAGGAAGTGCCACAGGGAGAAGCAGGCAGAGGGCCCAGCACCAGCAAAGGCCTGTGGCAGGTGTGGGCACAGGAAATCCTGAGGGCTGGGGAGTTGGGTAGGCAAGGCAAGGATGTAGGCAGGTTTCCATTCTGTGACATTCCCTCTAGGGAGGGACCGAGGAGCAGATGGAGAGGCCACTCTCTGCAGTTGTCCAGGCAAGAGCCAGGCAGTGATAGTGGCCTGGATGGGTCAAAGTTGGAGAGGAGAGAAGCTGGGGAAGGAGAGCTCAGGGGAAGATGGCCCACTTCCATCTTTCCCCTGCCATTCATTCCTCAAGACCTACCAGGAGTGCTCAGCACGGCCCCACCCCCAGGGCCATGACATCCACCCCTCAGCCACAGAGACTCCCACCAGCCATTTGGGCCCAAATGACTTTGCAAGCTCAGGGGGTCTCTGCCTGGGGATTCAGGGCTCTTGAAGAGAACACGGACATCCTCACCCATCCTCCCAGAGTCCCCGGCAGGGGACCCTGCATGGTACCTGAGTATCCTCTCTTTGGGTCTGTTTCAGGAACTGGTGCTCCTATGTGGTGACCCGCACCATCTCATGCCATGTGCAGAATGGCACCTACCTTCAGCGAGTGCTGCAGAACTGCCCCTGGCCCATGAGCTGTCCGGGGAGCAGGTAAATGAGGTGGAGAAGGAGCTGATGGCATTCTAGGTGGAGGCACAGTTTGGGCAAAGGCCTGGTCGGGGGACTCCATGGGGAGTGTAGGGGAAGACTGGACCCCAGGGTGGGTGGAGCAAAGGTAGCATCAGCTGACACCATTCTCAGCCTATCCCCTGCGCTGTTGAAGCACGCTGGAGGGCTTCCTGGGGGAGGGATACACCATTGCTTGCATTCCTTTACTCAGTGAGTATTCACTGCTGGGCTCAGGCCAGCCCAACCTGCAGGGTCTTCCTGTCCAGCTGGTATCCAATCTCTGATCCCTGTGGCAAGGTGGTGGGGGAATGGAAGGGCTGAATCCCAAAATGCAGGAGGAGAGAGCCTCCAAAGGGAGCTGGAGGCAGCAGAGGATCCTGGGGGTTCTGGGTTTGTTCCCATGGGTATTCAGGGCAGTGGGAGAGGTCGTGGAGGACCCTGTCTCAGCTGGGCCACCTGGGGACTCTTTCAGCTACAGAACTGTGGTGAGACCCACATACAAGGTGATGTACAAGACAGTGACTGCCCGTGAGTGGAGGTGCTGCCCTGGGCACTCGGGAATGAGCTGCGAGGAAGGTAGGACTGCCCGGCTGGCTCCCAGAGCCCCGCGACAGCAGGCCAGGTGCCTCCCTGCAGGTGCATGGAGCCGTGAACTGTTAGAGAGTCATGCACAGTACCGTGCCTGCTGGGGCTAGCTGCACAGAGCCCGGCTCAAACACAGTCAGTGCTTGGTGTCCACCACTGCCCCCCATGGTGACCGCTTGCCTCTTGGGAGACTCTCAGGACCCCCAGAAGAATTTTATACATGCTGCATAGCTCACATTTTAAGTCATGCCATCCTAAGTCTTTCCTCCACACTCGGGGAAAGCCCATCCAGACATTTCCGTGTGACACGGTAACAGACATTACAGGGAAGCAGAGAACCATTTTAGTCAGTTCATGGGTCAGAGAGGTAAGAATGGTTTTACCTATCCTGCAGATGAGGAAACTGAGCTCAGGTAGGGGAGGGGCACACACCTCTGTCTGTCTGCCAGGCTGTAGTCTCCACCCGCTCCCCAGGCTCCAGGGATGCGAGGGCTTGGCTGGGCCCCTTGTGTGCGGAGTGTGTCCCAGGCTCAAGGACTTCTCTCACTCCACCTGCCTTCACTGTGTGTACCTCTGAGTGGCTCGGGGCTGAGCACCCTGCAGGGGCACAGAGGAGGCAGCCTGGGCCTCCCAGGAACCTGGCCACACTCTCCCCTGCAGAACCCTCTCCTCTCCTCCAGGCACCTGCCCCACTGCTGAGCAGCCCAGACCCCTCCCACCCTCACTGCCTGGCTGAACCCATGAGCAGCAGATTATTGAACACCAAGAGCTGTGTTTTCAAGCATGGCACTAAAGAGGATGGGCTGGCCCAGAATCATCCTGAGAACCAGGCTCAGAGACAGCTCAAGGGACAGAAGCATTCACGGCCCCCAAAGCAGTACATGAACGAGAACGTCAGTCTCAGGACGTACCCCAATTCCAGAAACACAAATGTGCGAAAATGTAGCCTCTGACTCGAAGGAACATGGTGCTTTCAGAAGCCATAGCTCACAGGTGTGTCTTGGGAGATTTGCGCACTTCACCTCCTGGGGACCCTCAACAGCCCAGTTCACAGATAGGGTGACTGAGGTCCAGTGAGGTGGAGTGGAGTGCCCAGAGGCACACAGCCATGAGGATGGTGTTCAAAACTCACCACGCAGTGGGGAGAGGTCTGGCAGGTTCTGACATGGGGTAGAGGAGTACCCAGTGAAGTCGAGGAGAAACCAAGTGGCTAGAGGGTGTGCCAAGACACCCCAGGCCAAACACCCCTGCAGAGAGGCAGCCACAGGGCCGATGTGGGAAGCTGGAGCGGTGGACAGACGTTTGAAGGGGAGCCAGGAATAGCACCCTCTTGTCGCTGGTGGGAGGGAGAGGGGAAGGCAGGTGGGGCCGAGGGGCAGGAGGGCCAGCCAGGAGGGGCGGCTGCCAAGGAGATCACAGAGGAGCCGTGGAGGGGAGGGCCGAATCCCCGGGGCATGGGGGCCGCCTGGGCCCAGGCAGGGCCTCCCCAGACAAAGGCCATTCTGTCCCTGGCTCCCCTCCCAAGGGCAGACCTTCCTGGTCTCTGGGGCTTTCAAGGAGCAGGTGAGGGAGAGGACAGGTGGGGACAGCACCCATGCCCTTGAATCTAGCTGCTGGAGGCCGTGACTCCAGGAGCTAGGCCAAGGGCTGGGGGCTCTGCTGATGCTAAGGCAGGGGCATGAGCCAGGCAATGGAGCCAGGCCAGCTCCCTCTGTGGGGCCTTCAGGTCCCAGCGTGGGTATGGGATACCTGAGGCTTCCTGGGCCGGGCCAGCTTTGCCAGCTTTGCCGCACACCAGCTGCATGGCCTTGGGCCGGGGACTTCCCGTGCCTTGTGCAAGTCATTGTGCAAGGGCCCGGGGCTTGGGGGTGCTGCACTCCAGGAGGCATTCTTCTTCTGCCCACTCGGAGGGAAAGGCACCATCACTAAAAGGCACCAAGCTGCTGTGTGTGCCCGCAGCAGCCCAGGCTCCCCCACATTCAGCCTCAGTGTCCTCGCCTGGGAAGTGGTCAGGATGATAAGAGTCTGCCTCCCTGGGTATTGCTGGGATGAAATGTTGGAGACTGTGGAGGAAAGGGAGGTGGGTGAGTGGATGCTTCCACTATTCCAGAAAACTCTGCTGGGGTCCTGGGAATGGGGAGCAGGGAGGCACAGGGACATTGCCAGGGGACCCTGGTCTCTGCCCTTCCTCCCACAGTTGAGTTCAGGCTGGGTTCCCCGGCTGCTTCTCGTGCTGGTGCCCACTCTTGTCACCTGCCTAGCGCTGTCTCTTGACCCTGGAGCCATAGAGGTGCATCACAAGGGCCAACAGGGCCCAGGGCAGCCTGCAGTGGGCCAAAGGAGGAGAGGGAACACTTGCCATTCCGGAATCCAGCCCTAAATCAGCTGCACTCTGCTGTGTGACTTGGGGCAAGTCCCTTCTCCTCTCTGAACTTTGGCTTTATCTGGAAGTCACCCAGCATGAAGAAGTAGCACTCATGATTGGCTCATGGTAGATGCTCCACAAATGTCTTGGGCTCCCGTCCTGCGCCCCCACCACCCACCCCATGCTGAGGATTCCATGGCCTCCTGCCTCTGAGACCCCACTTCACAGTCAAGAAACGGACCTTGAGTCTCTGTGAGGCTGGTGGGCTCTAGTGAAGGACTTCACAGCGCTGGGCCCTGGTTTTCTGCAGAATGGGGATGTTCACTTTGTGACAAATGAGGATTGTCTCATTTGATGTCCATGGCAACCTGTGGAGAAGGGGCTAGAATGGGCTCCATTTTACAGATGGAGAAACTGAGGCTCAGAGAGGTGATGGGACTGGCCCGAGGTTACTCAGCAGGTGAGAGCCAGGATCGGGACCTGTCTGAGCAAGCTTCTGTGCCCCCAGGCCTCAGGAGGTGGGGCTGGCGGAGGCTATCACCTGGCCCCCTTTCATCAGAAACAATAGGGCTTATCAGAAACAATGGGTGAGGAAGAACCAAGGCCAGAATGCACCAAGTGGGCCAGGCAGGGGTGGGCGCAATGCCAGGGCCATGTCAGGAGGGTGGGCTGAGCCCCACAATCAGCTTTTCTGGGCCTGGGCCTGACCCCCTGAGTACCTGGGCTGGTGGACTCTGCTGACAGTGGGGCTGCTGCAGTAACCCCCATGACACCCTGCCTCTTGAGGCTTCCTGCAGACAGATCAGCCCCACTGTCCGGATGATGAAAGTGAAGCTCAGAGAGGGTGTGGGTCTCACATAAGGTCACACAGCAAACAAGTATTGTGGCCAGGTTTTTCCCCAGGGTGCCGACCTGAGTTCTGTGGCATCCCCCTGCCCCAGACCCTCCTGCAATAATCAGGACAAGGGGAAGGAAAGCTGCTCCGTGCTGGGCGCTTCAAGGCATACCCCCCCCCCCACCCCCGCCACAGGAGCCATCACATCATGGTACAGAAGGCCCAGATGCAGAAACTGAGGCTCAGAGAGGGGAATGCCTTGTCCAGGGGAGCAGTCTGTGAGCTGAGGAGCCGGGCTCAAACCTGGTCAGTCTGACTGCAGCCAGGGGTCTTTCCCCTGCAGAGTGCTGGCTGAGGATGTCCCTGCTGTTCAGAAAGCTGGGATGCTGTGAGGCTGGCGGAAGCCAGTCTCAGCCCCAGCTCCTCCCAGATAGAAAGATAGAGAGGCTGGGGCTCCCTCCCCTCCCCTCCCTATGGACCCCATGGAGCTGGACTGCCTCTGCTTCCCCCTCATAGGTCCCATTGTCCCCAGCATACATATTTTTTCCCCATCCATGGTTATTCACAGCCCTGTCTCCCAGGAAGAGGAGCCAGAGAGGGGACACTTGCCAGAGGTTGACAACAAAATAGCCTAAAAATGGGCCAGGCACGGTGGCTCACACCTGTAATCTGAGCACTTTGGGAGGCCAAGGCAGGAGGATTGCTTGAGGCCAGGAATTCAAGACTAGTCTGGGCAACATAGCAAGACCCTATCTAAAAAAAAAGTTTAAAAATTAGCTGGGCGTGGTCGGTGGCTCACCCGTATCCCAGCTTGGGGCGAGGCGGGGATCACAGGTAGGAGACTAGACACGGGAAACCCGCTCACTAAAAAAAAAAATAGCGGGCGCGTGTGGGCGCTGTAGCAGCTATCGGGAGGGAGGCAGGGAATGGTGTGAACCGGGAGGCGGAGCGCAGGAGCGGATCGCGCCTGCACAGCTGGGCGACAGGGAGACCCGTTCAAAAAAAAAAAAAATTAGCTGGGCATGGTGGTGCACACCCGTAGTCCTGGCTACTCAGGAGGCTGAGACAGGAGGATTGCTTGAGCCCAGGAGTTCAGGTCTGCAGTGAGCTGTGATCCTGCCACTGCACTCCAGCTTAGGTGACAGAGCAAGATCCTGCCTCTAAATATAAAATTTTAAAATAGCCTACAAACAGACTGAGGTTCTAGCCCAGGCCCTTCCTGGGCTCCTTGGTCTCTTCTACCATCCAGGGCTGGGCACGCTCCACACTCATCTCTTTCATCGTAACCAGGCTCCAGGTATGGTGCTAAGTCTGAACTTTACTTTGCAGATTCAGAATCCAAGGGCTAACCACTGCAAATCCACCCACATCCACCACCCAGCCACCCCCACTCCTGGGAGTCCCGGCAACCCCCACCTCCTGCCAGCCCATCCTGCATGCCCAGCCAACTGTGTGGCTGCCTCCTCCACTCTCTCAGCCCCTGCCTGGATCCCCTGAACCTCACCCTCCCTCTGTTTGAACCCCCTGCCGACACCGGCTTTGTCTCTCATACATGGCCTTGGCAGTGGCCGGCAAGTCACTGCTCTGCCTGCAGCCCTCTGGGTGCTCCCACCTGGCTAGGTTGACCCGCATCCTGCCACCGTTACTCCCACATCCCCAGTGCCTGGCATGGGCCACGTATAAAGTGAGTGCACAGGAATTGAATAGGACCTTTGCCTGTCCTGAAGAGGCGGCCAGGCCGGACATAGACTAAGCCTTCCCGGAGGTTCCTGATTGAGCTGGAGGGTTCTTGGAGCTCCCAGCCCCAGCTCTGACCCTAACCCCTGGCTCTGGCCACCAGAAGCAAATATTTACATTTGCAAAGTAAATTCCTTGCAGGAGACCTGGGCTGGGGCTGGGAAGGCTGCCTCCCTATGGCCTGTGGTTGCTAAACCGAGCAGAGCAGATCTGGGGGGTCGGTTGTGAATGAGGAAGCCGTTCCTTTGGCTTCTCTCCAAGGAGAGAAAGTCATGAAGGTGGATCCCAGGGACACCCCCAGATTTTCATACCCCTAATCCCCAACTTTTCACATCCCTAATCCCCAATTTAGGGCAAGATTGGAATCCCAGACCCCCTTGTCCCACTGCAAGGACAGAGCGGAAGCCTCTCCTCTCTGGGCCTCAGTGTCCTATATCGTGAGGTGTCGTGAGGGTCCCGAGAAGGGACACAAAGCTTCTTAGCTCAGGCCTGGCACTGGGCAGAGGGAAGAAGAGCTGCTTATGGGGCCCAGGGCTAGAAACTACAGACAGCGCTGACCATGTGGAGGTCAAGATGTGGAGGTCAAGACAGGGAGTGATGAGCTTCGAGGGGGCTTTGACACTGGTAGGCGCACTGGCCTGTTTGGGAAGGCTTCCTGGAGGAGGTGACATGGGTGCAGCAGCTGTAGAGATTAGGAGAGGGCATGGGGTAGGAACGTGCATGTGTGTGTGTATATGTATGTGTATAGGGCATGTGAGGACCTCCCAGATGGTGGGAAGTGGCCCACAGTCAGGTTCCCAAAGTGGAGCTGGGGTTTGTGGTCCTGGGACCAGCCTTCAGAGCCTCCCTGGGAGGACAAGGTTGAGGCTAGGGAGGAGCCCTTCAGTAAGGACCACCAGGCTGAGATGAGGAGGGTCTCAGCTCACAGGCGCCTGTTTCAGGGCCTTTGACCAAACACCCATGGGAGGGATATGACATTTGTTTTGTTTTGTTTTGTTTTGTTTTGTTTAGAAGGAGTCTCGCTCTGTCGCCCAGGCTGGAGTGCAGTGGCGCAATCTGGGCTCACTGCAAGCTCCGCCTCCCGGGTTCACACCATTCTCCTGCCTCAGCTTGCTGAGTAGCTGGGACTTCAGGCGTCAGCCACCAGGCCCGGCTAATTTTTTGTATTTTTAGTAGAGACGGGGTTTCACTGTGTTAGCCAGGAGGGTCTCGATCTCCTGACCTCTTGATCTGCCCACCTTGGCCTCTCAAAGTGCTGGGATTACAGGCATGAACCACCACGCCTGGCCGGGATATGACATTTTTGTCCAACGACAGATCTCCCCACAATCCGTGGCTTCTTCCTTACTGGAATTTTGTGTGCTACAGGGTCATTTTACAACCTGCTACATCCCTTAAAATGTTTCTGTCCATTTCTCAGAATTTTGGGGGAGTTTTTGGATAACTTTTTGTGAATCTTGAATCCAAACCCAAAATTTTCTGGTCTTTTGAACAGTTTTGTTATTTCTTTAAACTCTCTTCTTTTTTTAATTTAAATTTGCAATTACTTTGAGCATTTGATGTCTGTGCTGCTGTCAGACCACATTTTTATTTGTTTTTCTCATTCTTTCTGGCCCCTGGAGAAACATCGAAAACAAACTGGTTGAAAAAGAATTTCCAACCACCAGTTTACAGATTAATAACTCAGGGACACTCTAGTATGACATTAAAACATTTATGCTGATTTTATTTTTTTTTAGATAGGGTCTCACTCTTTCAGTGTGGTACGATCACAGCTCACTGCAACCTTGACCTTCCAAGTTCAAGCTATCCTCCCGTATCAGTCTCCCAAGCAGCTGGGACTACAGGCATGCGCCACCATACCCAGCTAATTTTTAAATTTTTTGTGGAGACAGGGTTTTGCCATATTACCCAGGCTGGTCTCAAATTCCTGGGCTCAAGCAATCTGCCCACTTCAGCCTCCCAAAGTGCTGGGATTACAGGTGTGAGCCCCTGCACCTGGCCCATTTATGCTGACTTTTTTTTTTTTTTTTTTTGAGGAGTCTTACTTTGTCGCCCAGGCTGGAGTACAGTGGTGCATTTTCAGCTCACTGCAACCTCCGCTCCCGGGTTCAAGCGATTCTCCTGCCTCAACCTTCCAAGTAGCTGGGATTACAGGCACACACCACCACCCCCAGCTAATTTTTGTATTTTTAATAGAGACAGGGTTCCGCCATGTTGGCCAGGCTGGTCTCGAACTCCTGACCTCAGGTCATCCACCTGCCTCGGCTTCCCAAAGTGCTGGGATTACAGGCGTGAGCCACTGTGCCCGGCCTATGTTGACGTTCAAGACAGTTGTGTCTGCCTTATATTTGGTTTGCTTAATCGAAATTTATTTTCAGTTGGTGATTCATGTATTCATCAACAAAAGTTTTATAAATGGCCGGTCTCGGTGGCTCACGCCTATAATCCCAGCACTTTGGGAGGCCGAGGCAGGTGGATCACTAGGCCAGGAGATGGAGACCATCCTGGCTAATATGGTGAAATTCTGTCTCTACTAAAAATACCAAAAATTAGCTGGGCATGGTGGCACGCTCCGGTTGTCCCAGCTACTCCGGAGGCTGAAGCAGGAGAATCACTTGAACCTGGGAGGTGGAGGTTGTAGTGAGCCAAGATTGCACCACTGTACTCCAGCCTGGGTGACAGAGTGAGACTCTGTCTTAAAACAAAAAAAAAAAAAGTTTTATACATGAAGCCCATGAGATCCTACTGGGTGATGGGCACTTTTGTAGGCCGAGCACAAGACAGACAAGGTCCCTGCCCTAGTGGGGCTGATGTTCCAGCCAGGAGGCCAGAGGACAGGCAGTGGCCTGGGAAACTGGAACACGCTAGAAGGTAGATAATGCAATGGAAAAAAAGAAAAAAGAAAACAACAGCAGAATAGAGAGGAGGGCAGAAGCGGATGGGGAGAGCAGCTGAAGCTTCATCACAGAGGAAACTCAAACATCCCCACGTTGCGAGAGATGGCCGCTTCTTTTGGTCAACTTCCCGAAAAGAGTACTAAAATGACATCACGTCTCTACCTGGAAGCAGAAAGAATGAAGAGCGCTTGGTGAGGCCGTTTTTCTCAGGCACCAGCACTCCTGCTGAACATTGAGCCTCCCTGCCGGGTGCCCCTGCACCTCCACCAACCAAAAAAAGAAATCTGGCCCTGGAATCAGGCCGACCTGTGTTCAAATCCAGGCTTGGGACCATCCCGCAGACAACCGATGGCGAGTCGCCTCTCTTCTCTGCCTCATTTCTTCCAAGTGAGGAAGTGGAGTTGAGTGTCATTTACTCATCCACCTCTATCTGAGCACGGGCAACAGAGAAGAGGTAGCACAGAGCTGCCCTGTGCCTCAGTTTCCCCACCTGGAAAGTGGAGGTGGTACTAGCACCCACTCACAGTTAAGACTATGTATGTGAAGTGCTTAGAAGGTGCCAGGCACAGGGTACATGCTAAACAAGAGTTGTCTGTTCTGATTATCACCTTCCTTGTAGGATTGAGCCAAGCTATACAAGGTCCTTCACATGGGCATGGTTCACAGTGATGTCTCCCCTCCCCAGGGAGTCCCCAGTGCCGGCCCCAGTCCTGGGCTGGCAACCCATCTTTCTCCATCCTGGGTGAGATTAGCCCCCTGTGCCTGGGCAGGTCACAGGCCCTTGAGGAGGGTGTGCTGGGGATGCAGGCTCAGCACGAGTGGAGGCCCCACAGTGGGACCCAGAGCAGGGCCTGGCAGCCTCCACTGGGGGCTGGCCAGAGGGACTCGTCTGGTTTGAGTTCTCGGCGCCTCTCGCTCCCTGCATCAACCCACAGCCCTGCTCCGAGCTGCCAGGCCCATGCCTTATTTGGGTCTTGTCTCCCCCCAGACAACATTTCGTGGCCTTAAAAGGAAGGCCTGGGGGGCTGAGGGGGGCAGTTGCTAGTGCTGGCTCCACAGCCTCTCCAGCTGTGCCCCCGCCCCTGGTTTGGCCAGTCCATCCCTCCAGCTGTGGAGAAAACCAGTCCCCTAAAGCCAGACCAGCCAGGATGGCTGGGGCGGGTGCGGGGGGGTCCTCCTTGGGAGGGGTGGCAGCAGGGGTTGGCCCTGGAACTGGCTCCCCTTGCCCTCCCAGACAGCCAGCCTCCCTCTGGTTTTCATTTAAAACCAGGGCTGGATCCACTTCAGTCTCCTCTTACCAAGCCAGGCAGTGAAAGTGTGGATGGCAACAGTCACGGCGGCCGTTTATTGAGCACCTACTGTGTGTGCCGGTCGCTGTGTGTGCACAGTGGGCCCTTTGCATTCATGGCTGACCTCAGGCCTCACCTCAGCCTGGGAGGTTTAGAGGCCTTAGAATCCCATTTTACAGATGGGAAAATAAGTCCAGAGAGGACAAGTCATGCAGGACAGTAAGTGTCAGGGCTCGGACCCAGGCTTGTCTGAGCTCTAAACTCTTAGCCCATGAGGCTGGCTGGGGTTGGGGTTGTTGGGGAAGTCCTCAGCCTCATCCATGGCCCCCGCCCCATTGCCAGCCCCTCTTCCCAGCCCTATCAGGTGGCCAGCCTTGCTCTAGCTCAGCCCAGTTCATGCTGTGTGACCCAGATACGTGGACTCTCCTTCTCTGGGCCTCTGTGTCCTGTGCTGAGGGGAGTAGGGATCCCTGCTGGGGCTACAGTGGTGGGCAGGGGGACCTGAGGAGGCAAGGATCATACCCCAGCAGGGCTCTCACCCTCCATCCCTCAGTTGCAGGTTCCTCTGGCTCCTTGGAGCCCATGTGGTCGGGCAATACCATGCGGCGGATGGCACTTCGGCCCACAGCCTTCTCAGGTGGGTCCTGGGGTAGCTTCTTGGGGTCCCCTGGGCTGAGGGAGCTCTGGAGCGGGCTCAGGGCAGTTTAGTAACTGTCCTAAAAGCCAGCAGGTCTGGCAGTGGAGGGTCAAGGACAGTAACAGTCTCCCCATCCCACGCTCCCCAGGCCACAAAAGTTGCTTTGAGGGGCACAGAAAGGACCCCAGAGGGGCATCTGACCTGGGTCCAGACATCTGGACCCATGACCCCTGGACTCTTGCAGATGCCAGTTCAATCCCCCTGTTTCCTCTTTTTATGTAATCAGCACTTTTCTGAATGTCAGCAGTGTGCAAGGCCCTGTGCCAGGCACTTCCCATCAGCAGCTCATTTAGACCTCACAGCTGTCCACTGCCCTCCCATTGTCCCCTTTTTAAAGAGGAGGAAGCTGAAGGTCTCTGACCTCCCTGCCCTGCCCTGCTCCAGGCCCCACAGCTGGGAGTCGGGGCAGCACCAGGACTAGACCCCAGATGTGCTAGTTAGGCACTCACCCCTCCCTGCTCTGAGCCATGTCCTCAGGTGTGAATGGGGGTGACACTCCTGTGAGGAGGGGAGAGACTGCTGGCACAGCACTCGGCAGGGCCAGCAGCTGGGAGGCTCCGTAAATGTCCAGAGCTGCTGTGAATGACTCACGTCATTCTCGAGAGTCTCACCCAGGAGACCGGGGGGTGCTGGATGGTGGGTCGGGGGAGGCTCAGAGGATGGCACCTTTGAGGCCAGCCCAGTCCAGACTGCGCTGGGTAGGTCCCCAAAGCTGGCAAGCCCTGGCTCCAGCCCTGCCCAGGCGGGAAGCAACAGGATCTTTCCAGAGAGGACAAGTCACGCAGGACAGTGTCAAGGCTCAGACCCAGGCTTGTCTGAGCTCTAAACTCTTAGCCCATGAGCCTGGTTGGGGTCGTTGGGGAAGCCCTCAGCCTCATCCATGGCCCCCACCTCATTGCCATTTCCTTGGCTTCTGGGAAAGGGGTCATTTTGGACACAGAGGCTGCCAGGGGTCGGGTCCCTGGTCCTGCTGCAGGAGAAGCAGGCCACTCTGGAGGCTCCAACGCCAAAAAGAACTCATAGGGTGAGGTCCCCCTGGATCCACCATGATCCTGTAGCCCCTCCCCAGCCTAAGGCTCCCTCATGGGTTGGAGTCATCAGATATCTGATCCTTCCCTGCATCCCACCTCCCAGAGACTGAAGGGCTCTGAGGGGGAGCCTAGGACCCTCGGCCCTGGCCCCAGCTTCCTTCCTCCCCGCAGGTTGTCTCAACTGCAGTAAAGTATCAGAGCTGACAGAGCGGCTGAAGATGCTGGAGGCCAAGGTGGGTGAGCAGCTCTCTCCTGGGTGGTTGCCCCCTGCCCTAGGCCAGTCCGGGCAACCACCATCCCACCCTCCCCTCCTCCTTCCCCACACCCCATGCTTGCACCCTCAGCGAACCCACAGGGCAGCTCTGAGCTGACTTAGCGAGCAGCATCCCCTGTCAGGCACGTCCTGGTTTCCTCTAGTGTCCCTCCCTTGGAAGCCTGCTCACAGGTTGTGCCTCAGTTTCCCCTTCTGTAAAGCGGAGGGGACACTAGCATCCACTCAGTGAAGACTGTATATGTGAAGTGCAAGTCACAGCCAGCCTGGCCTGTTCTTCCTCCAGGAGGCCTGTGAGCTCCCTCCCATGGGGCTCCATTACCATCCCAGCCAGATCAGCAGAGACACTGCCCAGAGATCCTGGTGGGATCTCCTGGCTGCCCCTGCCCCATACCCTTTCTCTATCCCCCCAACCCCCATCCATAATACAATCTTCCTGGTTTCAAAAACAAAACATCTATCACGCATCTCAAATTATTTCAAGATAAAATGTTTTGTATTCTTTGTTTCGTCTGGTTTTGTTTGAAACAGGGTCTTCCTGTGTTTCCCAGGCTGGAGTGCAGTGGCGAGATCTCAGCTCACTGCAACCTATGCCTCCTGGGCTCAAGCAATCCTCCCACCTCAGCCTCCTGAGTAGCTGGGACCATAGGTGAACAACACCACATCCAGCTAATTTTTTAATTTTTGGTAGAGATGGGGTTTCTCCAAGTTGCCCAGGCTGGTCTTGAACTTCTAAGCTCAAGCAATTCGCTGTCTTGGCCTCCCAAGGTGCTGGGATTACTGGGATTACAGGTGTGAGCCACTGCGCTGCCATAAAACTTTTTTTTTTTTTTTTAATTAAAAAGTACAGCTTGGTGCAGTGGCTCACACCTGTAATCTCCACACTTTGGGAGGCCGAGGCAGGTGGATTGCTTGAGGCCAAGAGTTCGAGACCAGCCTGGCCAACATGGCGTAACCCTGTCTCTTTTAAAAATACAAAAATTAGCCTGGCATGGTGGCACACGCCCATAATCCCGGCTACAAAGGAGGCTGAGGCATGAGGATCACTTGAACCTGGGAGGCGGAGGTTGTAGTGAGCCAAGATCATGCCACTGTATTCCAGCCTGGGCAACAGAACGAGACTCTGTCTCAAAAAAAAAGAAAAAAAAAAAATTAGGCTGGGCGCAGTGGCTCAGCCCTGTAATCTCAGCATTTGGGAGGCTGAGCCGGGTGGATCACAAGGTCAGGAGTTCAAGACCAGCCTGGCTAAGATGGTGAAACCTTAGCTTTACTAAAAATACAAAAAATTAACCGGGGCCAGGTGAGGTGGCTCATGCCTGTAATCCCAGCACTTTGGGAGGCTGAGGGGGATGGATCACCTGAGGTCAGGAGTTCGAGACCAGCCTGACCAACATGGAGAAACCCTGTCTCTACGAAAAATACAAAAATTAGCTGGGCATGGTGGCGCATGCCTGTAATCCCAGCTACTCGGGAGACTGAGGCAGGAGAATTGCTTGAACCCAGGAGGCAGAGGTTGCAGTGAGCTTAGATCGTGCCATTGCACTCCCGCCTGGGCAACAAGAACGAAACTCTATCTCAAGAAAAAAAAAAAAAAAAAATAGCCGGTCGTGGTGGCAGGTATCTCTAATCCCAGCTACATGGGAGGCTGAGGCAGAGAATTGCTTGAACCCAGGAGGCAGGGGTTGCAGTGAGCTGATATTGCACCACTGCACTCCACCCTGGGCTTGGTGGCTCGCACCTGTAATCCCAGCACTTTGGAAGGCCAAGGCAGGAGAATTACTTGAGGCCTGGAGCCCGAGACCAGCCTGGGCAACATAGCAAGATTCCATCTCTACAAAAAATTAGCTGGGCTTAGTGGCACACAGCTGGCACACAATCCCAGCTGCTCAAGAGGCTGAGGCAGGAGGATCACTTGAGCTCAGGCGGGCAAGGCTGCAGTGAGCCGTGATAGCACCACTGCACTCTAGCCTGAACGGCAGAGCTAGACCCTGTCTCTAAAATTAAAAAAAGGAAGATGCCCCTGATTTATCCAGTGGGAAAAACGAGCTTCCAAATAGCATGTGCTGGCCCCTGAGTTACAAGACACGGGGTTCCAGGAGCAGTTCCCTGAGCTCTGTCCCAGGAGAAGCCCACGTAAGAGGCAACTCAGTCCCACATCTGTGATGGGAATTCCTGGTTCAGGGTCTGCCGGAGAGTTTCAGCTTTTCTCTGGACAGGCCCCCACGATCCCCAAGCCCCTGGTCTATGGTCATCTGGCCTCTCTTTGGTCCTCAGCAGCTGAGGGGACACCTCTAGCTTCCCAGAGTCTTCCTCACTGTGGACCCAAAAGTGGACTTTGTGTACACCTCCAGGTTTCTATTTCATGTCGACTCTTCCAAACTTCCTTCCAAATTTAGTGAAAGGCCAGGAATGGTGGCTCATGCCTGTAATCCCAACACTTTGGGAGGCCGAGATAAGCAGATCACTTCAGGTCAGGAGTTTGAGACCAGCCTGGCCAACATGGTAAAACCCCATCTCTACTAAAAATACAAAAATTAGCCAGGTATGGTGGCGCACGACTGTAATCCCAGCTACTTGGGAGGCTGAGGAAGGAGAATCACTTGAACCCGGGAGGCGGAGGTTGCAGTGAGCCGAGATCGCGCCACTGCACTCTAGCCTGGGCAACAGAGCAAGACTCTCCATCTTGGAAAAAAAAAAAATATTAGTGAAACTCTTCCAGCCATACCCTGTGGTGCTTTAACAAATCAAGAAAAGCTTCTTATTTGTAGATAAGCATAGAAAAAAAGCGCATGGCCCAGCAAGCACCGTGACAGTCACAAAGCTCAACTTGGCTGGCAATGATGGTGTCAATGACTTTTTCATAATGCGTGTTATGAATCGTGTGCTTTGAAAAACACTGTCACTTCTAATGAAGCTCTGTGCCCCTGCGAGCCTGGGGCTCCACTCCAAGCTGGGCCCTGCTGGCTATGTGCCTCCTGCCTCCCACACCAGGCCCCTTGGCTGGCCTGTCCCTAGTGAGACCTTGCCTCATGCCTGTAATCCCAACACTTTGGGAGGCTGAGGCAAGATGATCGCTTGAGCCCAGGAGTTCAAGACCAGCCTGGGCAACATAGCGAGACCTTGTCTCTACAAATAATGTTTTTTTTTTTTAATTTGCCATGTGTGGTGGTGCGTCCCTGTGGTCCCAGCTACTTGGAAGGCTGAGGCAGAAGGATCACTTAAGCCCAAGTGGTTGAGGCTACATGAGCTGTGATGGTACCACTGCATTCTAGCCTGGGCAACAGAGCAAAACTCCATCTCAAAAAAAAATAGGGAGGGGTCCTAGTGAGACCCTAGTACCCACCCCGTCCCTGTCTTCCTCTTCAGGTGGCCATGCTGACTGTCATAGAGCAGCCAGCGCCTCTAACACCAGCTACCCCTGAGGACCCTGCCCCACTCTGGGGCCCTCCTCCTGCCCAGGGCAGCCCCGGAGATGGAGGCCTCCTGGGTGAGTGTCAGACTCAGACTTGCCTGTGGGAATGAGCAGTGGGTTGGGAATTGGGGAAGTGGGATTCTGGTCCCCACCCTGTCACTGACTCCCAACTTAACCCTCTAGTGGGCCTCAGTCTTCCCATTTCCCGTTTCTTAGACCCGCCTAAGAGGACCGTCTCCTGGGACTCCTGAAACCTGCAGTCCCTGGAGACCAAGCAGCCCCAGCAGACCCTGCCTGGAGGTCGGGGGGAGCTGGGAGTGGGGATTCTGGATGAGTCTCCCTCCTCCAGGCCCAGCGGGGACACTGACCTCTGCCTACCCCCCTACCCCAGGGCTGCCAGGAGCCATAGAGAGTGTGAGGGTCCCGCTGCTTCCCCGAAATGGTAGGTGCTGGTAGGGGGGCTGGGGCCAGGGTGGGGGTCAAGAGCAGATCTGGAGCTGCCAGTCTGATATGCTTTACCCCCCAGACCAAGTCGGTGCTCGGGGGCTGCCCGGGCCCACCGGCCCCAAGGGAGATGCCGGCAGCCGGGGCCCAATGGGGATGAGAGGCCCACCAGGTGAGTGCCCGCAACGTTGCTCCACAGCTCCTCTGGCCACCCCCCCACCAGGTGGGCCCTTCCCCGCTCCTGACATGGCCAGGATGGCCTGGGCCCTTTCATCTGCTTGCCTCTTCACTCAACACCCCGCCAGGGAGTGCCCCGTTCACACCTGGGCTCCATGAAATCCTCTCTTACATTCACTCGACTCACATTCCCTGGGCACCTACACTTAGCAGGCTCTGGGCTGGTCACTGGGTGGGGTCAGACATGTCCCTGCCCTTCTGGAGCTTCCAGACTGCTGGGAGCAGGGCTGGGCAGAGGAGAAGCAGCAATGCTTGCCCCATGTGACCAGGGTTTCTATGAGGGACTTTGGGGGTTTGGGAGCCCCAAGGAAGGAAGACCCAGCCTGGATGAGGTGGAGGACTGGGTGCTGTGCTCATCCCCCTGTTAGACAACCAGGGAGCCTAGGTCTATGGACTGTGGGGCCCTCTCTCATGCCCACCGCTCCAGGCTGCCTTGTCCTGTCGCTTAAGGCCACCCTAGGCCTCCCTGCCTCCTGTATACCCACAAATCCCTGTGATTCCATTGCAGGTCCACAGGGCCCCCCAGGGAGCCCTGGCCAGGCTGGAGCTGTGGGCACCCCTGGAGAGAGGGGACCTCCTGGGCCACCAGGGCCTCCTGGCCCCCCTGGGCCCCCAACCCCTGTTGGGCCACCCCATGCCCGGATCTCCCAGCATGGTGAGTCCCCGCAGGTGGAGGTGGGGGTGGAGTAGCCATCAGCACAGTGCCCGCTACCATCTGCCAGGTGCCTTCTGTGTGCCAGCCCTGCTCATGGTAGGCCAGGTGTGACCCAGTCCTCCAGCAGGCGCTGTTGTCCTCCTGTGTTTACAGATGAGGAACACTGAGGACCAGAGAGGGGAGGTGGCTTGCCAGGGTCCCACAGCCCCGGCGTAGGGGAACGGCTTCAAACGGGCTGCCTCCAGAACCTGTGCTTAGAGCCACCAGGCATCAGGCCGTCCCGAGCCTTGGAATCCAGTTCTCAGAGCACTGAGAAGCAAAAGACCTGGCAGCAGGAAGCGAGCTCTGAGCTCCCAAGGCCACAGGCCTGGCCCCTCCTCCAGGCCCTGATGCACGTCCTTGGCTTCTTCCCTTTGGCAGCCCAGCCTGACCTGCCCATGGACTGCCAGGGGTCAGAGTGTGGAGCGCCAGATTTCAGCCTCTTTTCCATCGTGTCTTTGGTGCACACCAGTCATTCATTCTGCCATCCCAGCATTCATTCCATCTCACTATCCATACAATGGGGACAATGACAGTGCCAGCCTCCCAGAGCTGTGTAACACCCATGTACAGAAGCCTGGCACACAGTAGGTGGTGGATAAATGGTTTCTTTTATTGTCATTCCCATTTGGCAGGTGACAGTACAGGCTCTGAAAAGTGGAGAGTGTTGCTGGATGTCACCAGCTAGGTTGCAGTGGGGTTAGAACCCACATCTCCCTGCTTCCTGGTCTTGTGAGACCAGCACTCTCCACACTCCTCACCCTGGGAGCAGGTGCCCAGGTGGTACCAGCCATGCTGCAGGCTGCCCCATGGGGCAGTCCAAGCTGTCTTGGCAGAGGTGGCAGGTGAAGACTAACCACCCCACTCTACCCAGCTCTACTCACTCATCATCTTTGCTCACCCAGGAGACCCACTGCTGTCCAACACCTTCACTGAGACCAACAACCACTGGCCCCGGGGACCCACTGGGCCTCCAGGCCCTCCAGGGCCCATGGGTAAGTTGAGTCCAGGCCTGGGGTAAGGGGTGGAGTTGATAGATGGCAGAGGGAATAGGGTTTGGGGCTGTCAGGAGGGAGCTGATGGGGCACTTCCTGAGATTGTACTTTGTTCTGGCCCTTAGGACATCCTGTCTTTTTCCAGGTCCCCCTGGGCCTCCTGGCCCCACAGGTGTCCCTGGGAGTCCTGGACACATAGTGAGTAGTTCTCCTTGTACTCTCACCCATGTGTCTGTCCATCTTTCCATCTATCCATACATCTGTCCATCATCCACCCTTGTATCCATCTATCCATCCATCCATTCATCCTTCCATTCATTCATTCAATAAGTATTTATTGAGCACTTAATATGCAAACTACCTTCCATAAATCTTATTCAATCCAAGTAATGAAAACCATGTATTGTTATCACCTAAAACCAAGAAAAGTGGGGATTCTTGCCCTAGGGCTGTGGCCAGCACATGGCAACTTCCGTGAGTTGTGGTGGGACTATCTGACTCTAGGATCAGATCTTTTAACACTAAGCTGTATGAACTGATTGCTCTGTGCTTGGTGTATGGTGAAGAACCCAGAGGCCCAGACCAAGCTAGAGCACCCTCCCCACAACACCTCTGTTCCCAAGCCCCTGCCTGCTCCATCCTGCCCCAACACAAGGCTGAGGCCCTGTCTTGTTGCTCAGGGACCCCCAGGCCCAACTGGACCCCAAGGAATCTCTGGCCACCCAGGAGAGAAAGGCGAGAGAGTGAGTACTCAGGTGGCCCCAGGTGGGGGAATTCTGGAGAGTCCTGAGGGCCCCAGGTCAGAGCCCTCAACAGCTGACACCATTTGTCTCCTCCTACACAGGGACTGCGTGGGGAGCCTGGCCCCCAAGGCTCTGCTGGGCAGCAGGTAAGTGTTGCTGTCTGTCCTGCAATCATCCCTGCAGGATCCCATAGTCCCAGATTCTTCCTCTGACTCCATCCCCTGCAACCAGAACTTCTGATCCTCCCTGTTTTGTCATTTATTCTCAGATGCTCCCTGTCTCTGAGACTCGTTGTCCTCTTTGGATCAGGCTGCCTCTGGCTCTCTCACTCTGGCTCTCTGTTTCTTGTATCTCTCTCTTTCCCTCTGCATGTCTGTCTCTTTGACTCTGTATTTCATTTACACTCTCTCTCTCCAATTCTGATTGTAGATCTGTTCATTTCTCTCTTTAATATGGTCAATTTTTATGTATTTTGGGTCTTTGTTATTAGGTGCATTCACATTTAGTTTTTTAATGTCTCCTTGGTCATTTTACCTTTATGAAATTAATATCTTTATCTCTGATAATACTTGTCTTGAATCTTCTTTGTGTGCTTTTAATAGCACACCAGCTTTCTTATGCTTGGCATTTGCATGTTATATCTTTTTTTATCCTTTTTCTTTCAACCTGTAACTTTATATTTAAAGTGCATCATGGCCGGGTGTGGTGACTCACACCTGTAATCCCAGCACTTTGGGAGGCCAAGGCAGGTGAATCGCTTGAGCTCAGGAGTTCAAGACCAGCCTGGGCAACATGACAAAACCCTGTCTCCAAAATATGTATATAAATTTTCTTAAATGTAAGAAAGTGTGGGCCAGGCACTGTGGCTCACACCTATAATCCCAGCAATTTGGGAGGCCGAGGTGGGTGGATCACCTAGGTCAGAAGTTCAAGACCAGCCTGGTCAACATGGTAAAACCCCATCTCTACTAAATATACAAAAATTAGCCTGGTATGGTGGTAGGCACCTGTAATCCCAGCTACTCAGGAGGCTGAGGCAGGAGAATCACTTGAACCTGGGAGGCAGAGGTTGCAGTGAGCTGAGATTGTGCCATTGCACTCCAGCCTGAGCAATAAGAGCGAGAGTTTGTCTCAAAAAAAAAAGAAATGCATCATATGACTTGGGTCTTGCTGTTTAAAAACAGTTTGACTGTTTAGTTAATTTATATTTAATGATATGTATAATTGATTAATTAATTGATATGGTTCTGTTTAAGTTAACCATCTTGCTGTTTATGTTCTATTTACTCCTTCTGTTTTGTGTTTCTTTTTTCCCTTCTCTTTTCTTGTCTTCTTTTGGATTGAGTACTTTTTTATTCCTTTTTTCTTTTATAGAAACAGGGTTTCCCTGTGTGCCCAGGCTGGACTCAAACTCCTGGGCACATAGTGAATGAAGTGCCTTAAGTGATCCTCCTGCCTCAGCATCCCAAGTATCTGGGACTACAGGTGTGCGCCATCGTGCCTGACTTAAAATCTTCTCTTTCTAAAATTAATTCTCTTTCTAGAATTAAAGCTATTCTTGCTTTCTTTTGATTAGAGTTAGCATGCAATATCTTTCTCCATCCCTTTCCTTTTTTTTTTTTTTTTTCTTTTTTGATACAGGGTCTTTCTCTGTCACCTAGGTTGGAGTGCAGTGGTGCAATCATCACTCACTGTAGCCTCAACTTCCCTGGCTCAGGCAATCCTCACACCTCAGCCTCCTGAGTAGCTGGGACCACAGGCATGTACCATCATGCCCAGTTAACTTCCATTCCTTTACATTTAACCTGTTTTGTGGTTATATTTAAAGTCAGTTTCTTGTAGACAACATATAGTTGGGTCTTGTTTTTTGGTCCATTCTAACAATCCTCATCTTTTAATTGCTGTATTTAGGCCATTGACATTTAAAGTGATTATTGAGGCCCAGCATAGTGGCCCACACTTGTAATTCCAGCACTTCAGGAGGCAAGGCAGGAGGATCACTTGAAATCAGGAGTTTGAGACCAGAGTGGGCAATAAAATGAGACCCTGTTTCTATAAAACAAATTTTAAAACTGGCTGGATGTGGTAGTGTGCATCTGTAGATTCAGCTACCTGAGAGGCTGAGCTGGGAGGATTGCTTGAGCCCAGGAGTTGAAGGTGACAGTTATCATTGCTTTACTGCATTTCAGCCTGAATGACAGAACCAGACCTTGCCTCTAAAAAATAACTAAGTAGTCTGTGCATACTGGCTCACATCTGTAATCCCAGCACTTTGGGAGGCGGAGGCAGGTGGATCACCTGAGGTCAGGAGTCCGAGACCAGCCTGGCCAACATGATGAAACCCCGTCTCTGCTAAAAACACAAAAATTAGCCAGGTATGGTGGTGCACTCCTGTAATCCCAGCTACTCAGGAGGCTGAGACGGGAAAATCGCTTGAACCTGGGAGATGGAGGTTGCAGTGAGCCGAGATCCCGCCACTGCACTCTAGCTTGAGCGACAGAGTGAGGCTCCATCTCAAAAAAATAAATCAATCAGTAAAATAAAAAATAACTAAATAAATGAAGTGATTATTTATATAGTTGGGTTAATAGCTATCATATTACTATTTGCTTTTATCTTTTTTATTTTTTGAGGCAGAGTCTTGCTCTGTCACCCAGGCTGGAGTCCAGTGGCTTGATCTCGGCTCACTGCAAACTCCGCCTCCCGGGTTCAAGCAATTCTTCTGCGTCAGCCTCCTGAGTAGCTGGGACTACAAGTGCCTGCCACTACACCCGGCTAATTTTTGTGTTTTTAGTAGAGATGGGGTTCACCCTCTTGACCAGACTGGTGTTTAACTCCTAACCTTGTGATCTACCAGCCTTGGCATCCCAAAGTGCTGGAATTATAGGTGTGAGCCACCATGCCCGGCTACTATTTTCTATTTGTTGTCCTTGTTCTTTGTTCCTATTTTTGTCTGCCACACTTTTTCTTTCTTCTTTTTTTTTTCTTTTTTTTTCTTTTTTTGGCTTTATTTATTTATTTATTTTCTTTTGAGATGGAGTCTTGCTGTCTCACCCAGGCTGTAGTGCAGTGGTGCAATCTCTGCTACTGCAACCTCTGCCTCCCGGGTTCAAGCAATTCTCTTGCCTCAGCCTCCCGAATAGCTGGGACTACAGGCACCCGCCACCCTGCCTGGCTAATTTTTGTATTTTTATTAGAGACAGGGTTTCACCATGTTGGCCAGACTGGTCTCGAACTCCCGACCTCAGGTGATCCACCCAGCTCAGCCTCCCAGAGTGCTGGGGTTACAGGCGTGAGCCACTATGCCCGGCTTTGCTCCTCCTTCCTTTATGTAAAATCTGAGTTTCTGACATATAATTTTTGTCCTCTCTGAAGAACTCCTTTTATTTTTTCCCAGTTGGCTTTATTTGTGATTCTAGAATTGGGCAACACTTCATTCCGTAAAATAAAATAAGCACTCTGCTGAAGAACTTCTTTTAATGTTTCCTACAAGGCAGATCTAGTGACAAAAATTCCCTCAGTTTTTGTTTGTCTGAGAGTCTTCATTTCCCTTTCATTTATGAAGAATAATTTTTCAGGGTAAAGATTTCTAGGTTGAGGCCGGGCGCAGTGGCTCACGCCTGTAATCCCAGCACTTTGGGAGGCCGAGACAGGCGGATCACGAGGTCAGGAGATGGAGACCATCCTGGCTAACCCGGTGAAACCCCGTCTCTACTAAAAACTACGAAAAACTAGCCGGGCGAGGTGGCGGGCGCCTGTAGTCCCAGCTACTCGGGAGGCTGAGGCAGGAGAATGGCGTGAACCCAGGAGGCGGAGCTTGCAGTGAGCCGAGATGGTGCCACTGCACTCCAGCCTGGGTGACAGAGCGAGACTCCGTCTCAAAAAAAAAAAAAAAAAAAAAAAAAGATTTCTAGGTTGATGTGTTTTTGTCCTCTCAATGCTTTGTGTATTACTCTCCACTCTCTTGCTTGCATGGTTTCTGCACAGTTGGGTGTAATTCTTATTGTTGCTCCTCTGCAAGAAAGATATTTTTTCCTTCTGTTTTCTCTTCAGTATTTTTTATCTTTGATTCTCTGAAGTGTTTTAAAAAACTATTATTGTTATTGAGACAGGGTCTCACTCTGTCACCCAGCCTTCTGAGTTCAAGGGATCCTCCCGCCTCCACCTCTCGAGTAGCTGGGACTACTGGCACGTGCCACACCTGGCTAATATTTTTTTTTTTTTTGAGACAAAGTCTCACTCTTGTCCCCCAGGCTGGAGTGCAATGGCGTGATCTTGGCTCACTGCAACCTCCGCTTCCTGGGTTCAAGCAATTCTCCTGCCTCAGCCTCCCAAGTAGCTGAGATTACAGGCACCTGCCACCACGCCTGGCTAATTTTTTGTATTTTTAGTAGAGAGAGCATTTCACCATGTTAGCCAGCCTGGTCTCAAACTCCTGACCTCAGGTGATCCACCCACCTCAGCCTCCCAAAATGCTGGGATTACAGGCATGAGCCACCACGCCCGACCATTTTTTTTTTTTTTTTTTTTTTAATTTTAGAAGCAAGGTCTCACTATGTTGCCCAGGCTGGTCTTTCTGGCCTCTAGTGATCCTCTTGCCTTGGTCTCCCAAAGTGCTGGGATTACAGGTGTGAGCCACTGCACCCAGCCTGATTTTCTGAAGTTTGGATATGATATGCGTATGTGTCATTTTGTGGCATTTATCCTATATGGTGTTCCTTAATCTTCCTAGATCTGTGGTTTTGGTGTCTGACATTTTTTGGGGGGAGAATTCTGTCATTATTACTTTAAATATTGCTTGTGTTTCTTTCTCTTTTCTCCTTCTGGCATTCCATTATGCATATTTACATCTTTTGTAGTTGTTCCAGAGTTCTTGGTATTCTGTTCTATTATTTCAGCCTTTTTTCTCTTTGCATTTCAGTTTTGAAAGTTTCCATTGTCATATCATCAGGCTTAGAGATTCTTTCCTCAGCCATGTCCAGTCCACTAATAAGCCCATCAAAGGCATTCTTTATTTCTGTTACAGTGCTTTTTATCTCTACCACTTATTTTTAATTATTTCTTAGAATATCTTTTTTTTTCTCTTTTTTATTTTTTTTTTTTTTAATGTAGAGGCAGGGTTTTACCATGTCACCCAGGCTGGTCTCAAACTCCTGAGTTTAAGCAGTCTACCCGCCTCAGCCTCCCAAAGTGTTGGGATTACAGGCATGAGCCACCACACCCAGGCCTTTCTTAGAATTTCCATCTTTCTGCTTATACTCCATCTCTTCTTGTAGGTTGTCTACTTTTTCCATTAATTCCCTTAGCATGTTAATCGTAGATTTTTAAAATTCCTGGCCTGATAATCTGAACATTTCTGCCATATCTGATGCTGGTTCTGATGTTTGTTGAATCTCTTCAAACTGTGTTTTTGCCTTTTAGTGTGCCTTGTAATTTTTCACTGGAAGGTAGACATAATGTACTATTCAAAAGAACTGCAGTAGATAGGCCTTTAGTAATGTAGTGAGAAGGTATGGGGGAAGGGAAGTGTTCTGGAGTCCTATGATTAGATCTCAGTCTTTTTTTTTTTTGAGACGGAGTCTCACTCTGTCTCCCAGGCACTGGAGTGCAGTGGCTCGATCTTGGCTCACTGCAACCTCCGCCTCCTGGGTTCAAGCGATTCTCATGCATCAACCTCCCAAGCAGCTGGGACTACAGGTGCCCACCACCACACCCGGCTAATTTTTTTGTATATTAGTAGAGTTGAGGTTTCACCATGTTGGCCAGGCTGGTCTTGAACTCCTGAGCTCAGGCAGTCCACCCACCTTGGCCTCCCAAGGTGCTAGGACCATAGGTATGAGCCACTGTGCCCAGCCTAGATCTCAGTCTTTAGATGAGCTTGTGCCCTTGGACTGTGAACTTCACCAGTGTGTCTCAGTTGTTGTTGTTTTGTTTTGTTTTGTTTTTGTTTGGGGGTTGTTTTTCCTCTTAAGTGGGACAGGTTGTCTAGAGGGGGTTAGAGTTGGATATTTCCCTTCCTTCACATGGAAACTAGAGGGAGCTGGAAGTGGGCATTTCACCTCCTCCAGAGTGGTTAGTGTTGGGAGGAAAGCTGAGTTTTGGGAAAGAAGCTGAGGCGGGGCTTGCATGTCTGACATAACATAAAAGAGCCTTGGAACATGTCTGGGGTCCAGGGTCAAGAACCCCTTGTGGCCTTTGGAACACCAAACTCCGTGCTAAAGGGTGGAAAGCTACCCTGCCGCACCATAGTCTAAGCCCCGGGCATAAAACCCCTCGTGACTTGGATGGAATCCAGGGCTCAGGGCATAAAACCCCTCGTGGCCTCTGGAATGTGTCTAGATTTGCTGGCTTCTTGCTTCTAGCACTCCCATTACCTTAAGTAGCAGAACATGTTCCATATGCTTCAAAGAAAATGCTAAACTGTCACAGCTGTAAATCATGTGCTTGATGCATTGCTTTCTCTCAACCCCTGCATCCTCACCACCTGTTTCTTTGTTTGATCACCAATAAATAGCGTGGGCTCCCAGAGCTCAGGGCCTTCACAGCCTCCATACTTGTGTTGGCCCCCTGGACCCACTTTCTCTCTCAAACTGTCTTCCCATTCCTTTGACTCTGCAGGACTTTATTGCCCCCATGAGCTGGTGTTGGGTCCGATCATCCCAACAGGTTAGGATCTGGTAAAGTAGTTTCTCCTGAGGTAGGCTTTGTTCAGAAGAGAATGCTTTGGTCTATTTCAAAATGGTGCCTCCTCTCCTCCCCCTGCTGGAAGGACAAGGCATTTTTCTCTGATATTCACTGTGAGGGCCTTGTAGAGCTCCTTGAGGTAAAACTCACCAAAGGAGGGATGTGGGCCTGTGACTGGGTCCCCCTGGAGTTTTTAACCCTAAGACCTGTCTACACGGAGCCTCTAGAAGTTCATCAATTACAGTTTAGGTTTTCCTCTCCTGGCCTTGGTTCCTCTGGAGGTTTGTGCTTGTGGGTTTCTGCTTTAGTAAGCTGTGATGGTCTGGATTTGCCTCTCCAGCTTTGGGGGCAGTGGTTTGCCTGTGGCCTCATTTCTCCAACAGATCTAAGAAGAGCCGTTGATTTTTCAGTTTTTTCAACCTTCTACTTGTTATTAAGATGGAATGACAACTTCGAAGGTCTTTCTTTTTTTGAGATGACTCTCGCCCTTGTCCCCCAGGCTGGAGTGCAATGGTACGATCTCGGCTCACTGCAACCCCTGCCTCGCGGGTTCAAGCGATTCTCCTGCCTCAGCCTCCAGAGGAGCTGGGACTACAGGCACGTGCCACCACGCCTGGCTAATTTTCATATTTTTAGTAGAGACGGGATTTCACCATATTGGTCAGGCTGGTCTCAAACTCCTGACCTCAGACGATCCACCTGCCTCGGCCTCCCAAAGTGCTAGGATTACAGGCGTGAGCCACTGCACCCGACCAACAACTTCTAAGCTCTTTACATGCCGGGTTGGAACCCAGAAGTCTGTTTTGTTTTGTTTTTAAATCAAATTTGGAAAAAAAAAAAAAAAAAAAGGTCAACATTTCCTCAAACATTTTTTTCCGTTTCTGCCCTCCAGTCTGTCCTTCTGGAACGCCACTGATTTTCTCCCAGGAGTCACTGAAGTTCTGTTCGTTTTCAAAAAAATCTTTGTCTCTCTGTGCTTTATATTTCTTTATTTTACTTTTTTGAGATAGGGTCTTGCTGTGTCACCCAGGCTGGAGTGCAATGGCGTGATCACAGCTCACTGCAGTCTTGAGCTCCTGGGCTCAAGCAATCCTCCCACCTCAGCCTCCTGAGTAGCTGGGACTACAGGTGCCCACCACCACACCTGGCTTGGTTTTTTGTTTGGTTTTTGTTTTTTCATTTTAAAGTAGAGATGGGTCTTGTTATGTTGCTCAGGTTGGCCCCAAAGTCCTGGTCTCAAGCTGTCCTCCCACCTTGGCCTCCCAAAGTGCTAGGACTACAGGCTGTCTCTGTACTTTAGTTTAAATTATTCCATTGGCCTACGTACAAGTTGATTGTTTACTTCTTCTGTTGCGTCCAATCTGATATTAATTTCATCTGATAATTTTTTATTTCCAGTATTATCATTTTCACTTCCAGGATTTCCATTTGATTCTTTTTTACAATGTATATATCTCTCCTAAAATTCTCCATCTTATCACCCATGATATCAATTTCAGTAGATTATTTAACATGTTAATCATAGATATTTTAAACTCCTTTGCTAATTCTAACATCTAGGTTGGCTGTGGATCTATTTCTATTGGCTGATTTTTCTCTTCAATATGCGTCACATTTTCCTGTGTCTTCATGTCTAGTAATTTTTTGTTGCACACTGGACAAAGGAGGTAATATGTTGAAAAGACTTTAAATTCTGTTAGCATCTCCTGAAGAGTATTGAGTTTTATTCTAGAACAGTTAAATTATTGATGGGTCATCTTGCTCTTTTAGAGGCTAACTTGTAGGCTTTATCAGAGAGAATCTCTGGTTTTGCTCTTAGTCCTAGGAAAAATCCCTTAATCCTGAGATAGAGTCTTTATTCCTAAGCCATGGCGGTTCTGGAGTTTCATTGGAAAGCTTTAGGTGTTCACAAGCACCTCTAACTTGGTTGGACTTGAACTCAAAACTCTGTCTCCTACATGGTGGGCAATTTTTGGCAATTTTAGTCAGTTCTACCAATCTGTTGGTTCTCCCCCACTGGGCTCCTTAGAGTGTTGTCCTGTGATAGGGCAATCCAGGGACCATCCAAGTGTTAGAAAGGAACATTTACACAGATTTAGTTCCCGCACTTGTGGCTCCCTGCTTCCCAGTATTTCTCATCAATTGCTTGCTTCTCTGGCAACCTCAACCTCTGACTCCTCAGGCCAATAAAACTGAAACTTTCTGCTTAAGCTCTGTTTTGCCAGGCTGATAGGGCTGGGGTGCACCCTCTAAGGAAAAGGTGTAAGTATATGGATTTTACCCAGTGCTATTCCCTTATTTTAAGGGTTGAATATTCTCCAGTTTCTGGCTGCTTTTTATTACTTTTTGTTGCCTTCAAGAAGTTCGTTTTTGCTTTGTATCCAATACGAGCTACTTTCTGTCTGTTTCACTAAGTTTTTCTCCCTCTCCCCTCTCTTTTTCCTCCCTCTTTTTTTTCCCCTCCCTTTCTGTCTCCTTCCCTTCCTCACTGCTGCTATCTCTTTCTCCCCTTGTAGGGGGAACCTGGCCCCAAGGGAGACCCTGGTGAGAAGAGCCACTGGGTAAGCTCTGGTCTGGCATTGGCCTCTTCCTGCCTTCTCAGCCCTAGGTGCTCAAGAGAGTATTCCCTCCCCAGGAGGCCCTGGGAGTGGGAGCACCCCATCCACATCCCCACTACAGCCTGGTCTCCCAGGCAGAAGCCTTGGCAATTCTCAGCCTCAACTCCCTCCCCTATCTTGTTGCTCCCAACCGGGCAGGGCCAGCCCCATCAGCAGACCCCATGCCTTCTGTCTCAGTCTCTGTCCCTGTCTCCACCTTCCCTCTGTGGCCTTTCCAGGCCAGGGTGGCTCTGCCTGTTCCTCCTGGGTGGATTGGGCTGACCCAGGCTAGACTGCATCCCCTGCCTCCATAGCCCCTTCCCAGCAATGGCTTGGCTTGCTCCCTTGTCTGCAGAACAAAGGGAAGAACGAAGACAATATCTACACAGGAGCATGGGATAGGGGACCTAGGAAAGGGGCCTAGAAATGACGAGGTACATGGGAGCCACGTGGTAAAAGGGATGGGGAACTAGATACCACCATACACATTGGAAATGCACAAAGCCTGTGAAGAGACTCCTCGAAACTGCTATGTACACGTTTAACGTGGTTAATGAGGCCAGGTGACCTAGACTTCTCTATACTTAAAGGACCTATAGTTTACACAAGGTCCTAGACACCATCACATACATAGGAGACCCATGATGGATGAGAAGAGAAGCCTAGAAACTCTCACATATACAGGAGACAGAGTAAATGAGAAGGGGGACAAGAAGGGGGAACTAGAAACCACATACCCCAAAATCTCATGATTAATGTGGGGTCCTAGAAACCTTCACAATCGTCCGGGGTGCGGTGGCTCATGCCTGTAATCCCAGTACTCTGGGAGGCTGAGGCAGGTGGATCACTTGAGGTCAGGAGTTCGAGACCAGCCTGGCCAATGTGGCAAAACCCCCATCTCTAAAATACAAAAAAAAAAAATACAAAAATACAAAATACAAAATCAGCCTAAAAGTTTTGGGCTAAAAATACAAAAATTAGCTGGACGTGGTGGTGAGCACCTGTAGTCCTAGCTATTCAGGAGGCTGAGGCAGGGGAATCACTTGAACCCAGGAGGCAGAGGTTGCAGTGAGCTGAGATCGTGCCACTGCACTCTGGCCTGGGCGACAGAGAGAGACTCTGTCTCAAAAAAAAAAAAAAAAGAGGCCGGGCGCAGTGGCTCAAGCCTGTAATCCCAGCACTTTGGGAGGCCGAGACGGGCGGATCACGAGGTCAGGAGATCGAAACCATCCTGGCTAACACGGTGAAACCCCGTCTCTATTAAGAAATACAAAAAACTAGCCGGGCGAGGTGGCGGGCGCCTGTAGTCCCAGCTACTCGGGAGGCTGAGGCCGGAGAATGGCGTGAACCCGGGAGGCGGAGCTTGCAGTGAGCTGAGATCCGGCCACTACACTCCAGCCTGGGCGACAGAGCGAGACTCCGTCTCAAAAAAAAAAAAAAAAAAAAAAAAAAGAAAAGAAAAAAAAGAAAAGAAAAGAAAGTAGAAACCTTCACAATCATTGGAGATCATTTCAGGGAAGGGATTTTCAGGTCAGGACCTAGAAATCTACTCACCCAAGAGAAGTGGGAGAAAGATGAGGACCCTAAAACACACCGTACCCAAAAGCCCCATGACACAGGCATCTGGAAGCCATCACTGACAGGGGAGACATCTAGAAAATGGACAGAGTGGAGGCAGGCACTCCTTCAGAAGAGAGAGACAACTAGGAAGCTCTTTTTGGGGGGTGGTATTGTGACTCCCCCTCCACATGCAGTCTGGATGGGACACCCTACTTCCTGGCAGTCACAAGTTAGTGAGGATGTGGGTGGCACCCCGTGCCTGCCTTGCCCTCTCAGTTCTTGATTGTGGGGTCAGTGATGGATACAGCCGTGGGAGCCCCCTACCCTGCACGAGTCTTCCCCTGTGCTGCCTATGACTTCTGGGGACCTGCTACCTCTCCAGTTAGCCTCTCCTGGCCCCTGCTGCCCTGAATCTCCTCCTACCCCCTGCCCATCCTCCGTAGCTCCAGAGCCTCTTAAAACTGCCAGTATGGGCATGAGCTGAGCTGGGGTCAGGTAGACCCATGCGTGCCTGACCCTCTGCCTCCCCTAGGCTACTTGCTGGCCTCTCCCAGAGGCCGTTGGTCTGAGAACACATTTACCACCCAGCCCAGGAGGGATGGGAGAGATTGGGCAGTCCCTTCCCTTCATGAGAACCCCCGGCAAGATGCCCTGGCCACCCTAGACCAGTCCTTGAACCCAGAACCACCTGTGGGCTCCCCACAAGAGGTAGCAGGGCCCCTGCCCACCCACCTTCCTGCCCCTCTTCTACCTGCATTTCTGCCCCTGCTTGCTGCTTGCCTGGGAGGGGACCTGCTGGGCTGGGGGTTGCATGAGGCTTTGGGGGCTGGGGGAACAGCTCTGTTGGGGACAGGTGGGAATGAGGTTCAGTGCTGGCAAGGTCCCGGAGGGCTCCTATGTACACTTCACCAACCAACTCCCTTAGTGCAGCGTGCAGACGGGCATTCTGGCTGTGGCCCGGCAGTGACGCCTGGTGGTCATGATCGTGCACTGCAGGAACTGGAATGACTACTCTGGGCCTGCCCACCTGGATTGAAGCTCTTACCCCTTATTCAGACAGGGAAACTGAGGCCCGACTCTGCAGAGAGAATCCTTGGCAGAGCGGGAACTGGAGCCCTGACTTTTAAGCTCCTAGGTCCAGAGAACCAGCTACCATTCCCCAAGCATCTCCTCCATGGGCACCAGACCTGGGGCTGGGCACTGTGGACACAGATGCAATTCAGACACAGTCCCCACCCTCAGGGTGGTGACAGTGAGGTGGGGTGAAAAAGACCTATAATCAGCAGCTACGGGACTGTCAACTTTATAAACACTTCACACTTTAGCATCCTCCCGGAGGAGCCAGGTGAAGCCTGAAAGGTGCATTAACCAGGCACGGGGTGTCCAGGCAGAGGCGGGGGTACAACAGGTGCATAGCCCCTGTGGCAAGAGGGAGCCTTGGATATTTGAGGAGCTGAAAATACTTGGAGTGGCATTGTGACAGGCAGAGAGTGGAACAGAGGCCAAAGGTAGGAGGCCACATTCAGGAATTTGGGCTTTGTTCTAGGGCAGTGGGGAGGCATTGAAGGCTCGAGAAGCAGGGGAATGATGTGGTCAGGTTTTTTTTTTATTTATTTGCAAAAATCCCCCCGGTTGCCTTGGCGAATGGATGGGAAAAGCAGAAGACAGTAGGTAGGGAGCTGTTGTGGTCATCCTGGTGAGAGTCTGAGCCGGGCAGGGGGTGGGAGCCAGTGAGGACAGACAGCCATCGATGGAGCAAAAAGACACTTGTGTGCTGGTTTGGCTGCAAAAGGGAGTGAGGAGTCAAGGGAGACTTCAAATAGCAAAAGAGAACCAGGAGAAGCAAGCAGGCTGAGTTTTGTCTGTGAACCAACGAGAGGAGTCTGTGTTACAGCCAAGTAGGGGCGTCCAGCAGGCCCAGACACTTAGATCTGAAGTGCAGAGGGCAGGCCAGGCTGGAGGAGACTGGCTTGTCATCAATGCAAACATCAGGCCATCTGTCTGAGGGAGTTCCAAACAATGGATTTTAAAAACACTTATGCCCAGATTTTTCTTTTTATTTTTATGTTTTGAAAAAATACAGACAAGATCTCACTGTGTTTCCCAGGCTGGTCTCAAACTCCTGGCCTCAAGTGATCCTCCTACCTCAGCCTCCCACAGTGTTGGGATTACAGGTGTGAGCCACTGCACCTGGCCTCCCCAGTATTTTTATTTTTTTATTTTTATTTTATTTTTTTTCCTTTTTTATTGAGACAGAGTCTCTCTCTATCACCCAGGCTGGAGTGCAACAGCTCGATCTCAACTCACTGCAGCCTCTGCCTCCTGGGTTCAAGCAATTCTCATGCTTCAGCCACCTGAGTAGTTGGGATTCTGTAGCCACTCCTGGCTAATTTTTGTATTTTTAGTAGAGATGGGGTTGTACCATGTTGGCCAGGCTGGTCTTGAACTCCTGGCCTCATGTGATCCACCCACCTCGGCCTCCCAAAGTGCTGGGATTACAGGTGTGAACCACTGAACCCAGCCATTTTGCATTTTGATATACAGAAAAGTTGGTACAATGAATGTCATTCTGCCCTTCCTGTAGATGGACCAATTATTGTTACAGCCATGTGCCACTTAATAATGGGGATATGTTCTGGGAAATATGTCATGAGATGATTTCGTTGTGGCATGAGCATCATACAATATACGTACACAAACCTGGATGGGATAGCCTGCGGCACACCTCATCTGTGTGGTGTAGCCAATTGCTCCCAGGCTACAAACCTAAACAGCATGTTACTATGCTAAATATTACAGGCAACTGCAACACAATCGTAAGTATTATTTGTGTATCTAAACATAGAAAAGGTATAGTAAAAATACACTATAAAAGGTTTTTGGGGCCGGGCGCGGTGGCTCAAGCCTGTAATCCCAGCACTTTGGAAGGCCGAGACGGGCGGATCACGAGGTCAGGAGATCGAGACCATCCTGGCTAACACGGTGAAACCCCGTCTCTACTAAAAAATACAAAAAACTAGCTGGGCGTGGTGGCGGGCGCCTGTAGTCCCAGCTACTCGGGAGGCTGAGGCAGGAGAATGGCGTAAACCCGGGAGGCGGAGCTTGCTGTGAGCTGAGATCCGGCCACTGCACTCCAGCCTGGGCGACAGAGCGAAACTCCGTCTCAAAAAAAAAAAAAGGTTTTTGGGTTTTTTTGGGACAGTCTTCCTCTTTTGCCCAGGCTGGAGTGCAGTGGTTGATTTCAGCTCACTGCAACCTCCATCTCCCAGGTTCAAGCGATTCTCATGCCTCAGCCTCCTGGGTAGCGGGAATTACAAGCATGAGCCACCACGCCCAGCTAATTTTTTGTATTTTTAGTAGAGATGGGGTTTCACCATGTGGGCTGGCCAGGCTGGTCTCGAACT